ATTTCTCCCTTGCGTTCTGAGTTCTAGCGTCTTCTTTTTTTTCTTTTTTCTTTAATAAAGTTTTTTATTGATACAACAAGAAAAAAGAAAAAAACCACAAATACCAAATTACACACAAGAATAACCATAGACACATAATTTTCTTAGCAAACAATAAAACATCTATTGGTCTTAACACTAAAGACCCAACCTCCCGTCTATTCCATATTTCAAATTCATATTACTTATTGCCAATACACACTTTTATCATATTTAAACTTATTCTTAATAAATCTAATTTCTTATGTCTACCTTGCAACTATTACTGAAGTTCCTCGAATGCTGCAACAGAATTTAAACTACTATATTTATTTTTCAGATATTCTTTGAAAACCTCCCATTTTGAAACAAATTCCTGTTTTGATTTATTCTTTATTTTTTCTGATAAACCATCTAATTCGAGCGTCTTGAAAGCCCATGACACCTTTGGTAAAGGCTGTTCTCCAGCTGGAGCGCTCACAGGCCAGTGTTTCCCAGTTGTCAGTGTTTATACTACATTTTTTTTAGCAAGAACCATGCCACTACTCTGCGTCCATAGATTCAAGTTATGTTGCTGCACGTCAGCCTGAGCCTTTAGGTGCTGGCATTCTTGAGGACGCTTTTCATCTCCTCCTCTGACTGTTCCAAGCTTCTTAAGGAGGACTTGGGGATCCTCAGCGCTGGTTCCAGGAGACCCTGCCTGCTCATTTGCCCCAAGGTCCTCGGCTTGTGGAGTGTCTGGTTCCTCCTCCAAGGACACAGTGCCTGTCACCAACTCAGGGCTAGGCATGGCAGTCTGTGGTTTGGGTCATGGTTGCATATTCCCATTTTACAGCTGGATAACTGAGACTGAGGGAATGTGGCTTGCCTGAGGCAACCCATTGAATGGCTGACTAAGCCGGAACCTTGAACTCCCAAGTTGCGTCGTAGACCTACAATTCCCAGAGTGGTTTAACAACCAATCCCTCTTGTAAGGGTATCAGGGGGTTGCTCGAGAGCAATCAGGCAAATGCCTCCCTGGGTGGCTGTAAAGCCTTGTTATTGGTGCCAAAAACCCTTCACCATGCAAAGCACCACTATTCCGTGGCTGGCTCATTCACTGGCAGAATCTGAGAGTGGGCGGTCCTTAAACCTTCCCCACAGAGCAGTTTCTTGACGCCCAGTCTGCGCTTCCCCTCTCTGCGCGGAAGCCTACTGCGCAGGGAGGGCGTGGGTATTGGAGGACCTCTCTCCTCCCCGCTTTGCCCAGGCAAGGTGTCCTGGCACTGAAGCTCCTCTCCGCTGGAGGCGTGGTTACTTTCCTCCGCTGAGGAGGTGCTGCTTCCCAAGATCTTTGGGGGCTCTCTGTAATCCATCCGCCTTTTCCCCTCTCGCCCCTGAGCCGATGGCAGTTCCCTGACACCTCTTCACATGGAACTCTGAGAATTGTAGCTGTGTGGCAGGGAAAGGGGTCTCCTAGCAACTCTCAGCACCCTTAACAAACTACAGTTCCCAGAATTCGTTTTTTGGATGTCCACAACTAATTCTCTAATTCTTTTCTTAAAACCATCTAAAGCCAGTGACCCTAAAGGACCACCAAGAAGCCCCTTGGGATCTGTTTGTGTTTCTTTATTTTACAAACCCTTGACATTGCTACACACTTCTTGCATGAGCGTTTGGCTTGCAAATTTTATCTGCTTTGCGCAATTCTGTAGATAACAAAAAACTTTGTGCTTTTGGATGGGCAAAGTTTCGTTTTTGATAAAGAGGGAGGAGGGGGAACACCTCCTTTCCAAAAGCTTCAATAGCACATTTGGTTCTAATGCTGAAGCATGTGGCAACGATAAATAAAATACAAGCGCAAACCTTCAAAGAGAAGTTGAAAATGCGAGTTTGCCCCTCTCCCTGTTGTGCGTTCGTGTTTTATTATCTCCTCTGCTGCAGTGTTGTGCCCCGTTGGTTTTATTGCTCCTGAGTTAATAATACTAATAATGAAAAAAAGAGGAGGTAGAGGATAAAGGGCATTAATTGAAAGCAGAGGTGTGACTTCCTTGATGTCTTCAGAATGGCAGAAGCTGTTCCGACAGGGGAAGCAGAACAGACCTTTGGAAAGGGAGGTTTGGTGAGGCCTGGGGTCTACCTCTAGCCACCAGAATTCAGATTTGGGGGCAAGGAATGGTGTAATGCGGCAAAGCAGAGCAAGGCCTTGGCTTCTACTCTCCAGATATGTAAGGGATTAAGGACTTGCTTCATGAGCTGAACTGGCCAAAGTCTGACCTAACACTGGTTGTTTGGGACCTGGTGAAATTAGGAAACAAATGTGTTTAGATTTCGGAATTATTTGTATTGCATTGCATTGCACCCTGCCCATCTGACTGGGTTACCCCAGCCACTCTGGGCGGCTTCCAGCATATACATTCTTGACATCTGATGGGAGGGCATTTCATAGGGCGGGTGCCACCACTGAGAAGGCCCTCTGCCTGATTCCCTGTAACCTCACTTCTCGCAGGGAGGGAACCGCCAGAAGGCCCTCAGAGCTGGACCTCAGTGTCTGGGCAGAACGATGGGGGTGGAGACGCTCCTTCAGTTATACTGGGCCAAGGCCATTTAGGGCTTTAAAGGTCAACATCAGCACTTTGAATTGTGCTCAGAAACGTACTGAGAGTCAATGTAGGTCTTTCAGGACCGGTGTTACATGGTTCCAGCAGCCTCTCCCAGTCACCTGCCTAGATTAGTTGTAGTTTCCAAATAGTTTTTGCTTCCTTCTTTTGTTGTTATATTTTTACACACACACCCCAAATTTCCCTCCAAGGAGCTGAAGTCAGCTTGTGTGATTCTTCACAACCTCACACCCAACAACCTGGGTGCACAACAACCCTGTGATGCAGGTTAGGTTGAGGGAAGATGACAGGGTTGAAGTCACTCAGTGATCTTCATGGCCAATTGGGGATATGGCCTAAAGAAGGATACAAAACAGGTTGATGCAAGCAGAGAAAATCTCCTTCCTGAATCAGCAACTGATTTAGACCAAAGAGGCTCTCTTTGAGAGGGTTGCTTTGGGCCAGTGAGTCCCCACAAAGAAAACAACATGCGTATTTTCTTTTTCTTTTTTTAATGATATTTATTAAAAGTTTAACAATTACAAAAAAAGAGGGGGGAAAAGACAATAAAAAGTTACAATACATCAAAAAATAAAAAGCAAAATAAAAAACAATACAGCACAACAATTAAAAAAAACAAAAACATTTTAAAACAAAAACATTTAAAAACTCATCCAGTATTTGCATATCTTTGTCTTTCATTTACTTGTTTCATCGACCTCCTCACACCTCCCTTTTTTGTATTCAATTTAGCTATTTCAGCAAATCCTTTCCATCTTTCTCAATTTTTGTTCTATAATTTACCTTAACCCAATCTGACCTTAAATTTTACACTTGGCCCATTAACAATCCATTTTTACTTAATTCTTTATAACATTTCTGCTAAAACCATGTAACTTCATTCCAGCATCCTTCTAACATTCATTAATTTTGCTATATTTTTGTAAATATACTTTTTTCCAATCTTCTTCCACTGACTCTTCTCCCTGGTCTCAGATTCTGCCAGTCATTTCCGCCAGTTCCATGTAGTCCATCAGCTTCATCTGCCATTCTTCCCTGGTGGGTAGATCTTGTGTCTTCCAGTGCTTTGCGATAAGTATTCTTGCTGCTGTAGTAGCATACATAAAAAAAGTTCTATCCTTCTACAACATGCGTATTTTCTTTCTCTAGTTTGCCAAGGCAGTGAAGCATTTTGGGGAAGATGCTGGCAAAACGCAACCGGACGAGTTCTTCGGGATCTTCGACCAGTTCCTGCAGGCTGTGACTGAAGCCAAACAGGAGAATGAGAACATGAGGAAGAGGAAGGAGGAAGAGGAGCGACGGGCGCGCATGGAAGCCCAGGTGGGGATAATCGTGTAGGGTGGGGGATCCCTCGCATGCCCTTGGCGGCCCATAGCTGAAGGTGGCTCGATGCACCCATGGTTTTGACTCCATTTCAGACAGCTGCTTTGCAAACGACGCAAGCTATGCAACTCAGGCTGTTGGTGCATCTAGTTGTTGGGGTGTTAAGTTGCCATGTGTCTGTCTTGGGATATGAGGGGTAGAGAAATTGCAAGAAAAATTGTGTGCAAAAATGAAAACCAATAAAAATTATTGGGGGAATGCATAGGTAAAGGTAAAGGGACCCCTGACCGTTAGGTCCAGTCATGACCGGCTCTGGGGTTGCAGTGCTCATATCACTTTATTGTCTGAGGGAGCCGGCGTACAGCCTCTGGGTCATGTGGCCAGCATGACTAAGCCGCTTCTGGCAAACCAGAGCAGCGCACGGAAATGCCATTTACCTTCCTGCCGGAGCGGTCCCTACTTATCTACTTGCACTTTGATGTTCTTTCGAACTGCTAGGTTGGCAGGAGCTGGGACCGAGCAAAGGGAGCTCACCCCGTCACGGGGATTCGAACCGCTGACCTTCTGATCGGCAAGTCCTAGGTTCTGTGGTTTAACCCACAGCGCCACCCACGTCCCATGGGGAATGCATACATTAACACAAATGCACATGGACAAATTTCATGTGGGCTTAAAAATATATCAGAAGGTGATGCAGAAACAGCTCAAGGATGGAGAATCGGTTTATCGCTTTTCCAGTGTTTTAAGTTACAGCGTGTTGCTCGTAGGGTGTGTCAAATCCCTGCCCGTTAACCCTTCCTTTTTCCCTTCCCATTAGCTCAAAGAGCAGCGAGAGAGGGAGCGCAAGGCGAGGAAGGCAAAAGAAAACAGCGAGGAAGGCGGGGAGTTCGACGACCTCGTCTCGGCCTTGCGGTCTGGCGAAGTCTTTGACAAAGACCTGTCCAAACTCAAGCGCAACCGCAAGCGTATCACCAACCAGCTGGCGGATGGCAGCCGCGAGAGGCCGGTCACAAAACTAAACTTCTGAGCGCTTGTATTTATATATACATATATCTATATATGTATATATATATTTCAGAAGAAAACTCTAAACCAACCAACAATCGTCTTGGAGGACCCCAGGTCTTTTTACCTTCTGCCTTGCCAGCCCATCAGTGGCCCTCCCTCCCTCATCTCGTCCTGCCTGTGCATGAATGTTTTCAATGGGAGCATGAGCGCAGGTGCGCTGCGCCCAAAGAGTCTGGTGGTGCGGCTGGGATTCAGAACTGTGTGCATGCGCGAGCGCGGGCGTCAACATGCACAGGCCCGGATGAGTTCTCCCTTTTCTATCAGTTGCGGGAGGCAGGGGGCGGGCAGCGTCGCCGCAAAAATTAGCTTTCATGCTGTCTAAGCACAAGTGTCGGTGATCGAGAGAGAAAGAGAGGGGGAGGCGAAAACACACACGCCCCCAACCACGGAAATGAGAGAGGCTGGTGGGCGATACCACTTGGGTCCATTCTGGGGGGTCCTTTTATTTTGATATAAAGTTGGGGTGGGGAAAACAGCTTGAAGTTAAGAGGGGGAAAGAAGTGCTGCTATTGTGCTACGTTAGCACAAGGGCGTTTTGACATGGACAGGCCAGCCTCGGAAACCTGTTGCCATTGAGGCTACAGGTGGCGGGAGACGTCTGTTAAAAACAGCTCTTGTTCAGTCTGAACGTAGCATTGTTGGGGGGAAGCCGAGATTATTATTTTTTGTTTCTGTTTTCACTCAGAACTTGAACATCCCTTGTGGCCGTTGTGCCAGCTCCTTTGTGTTCCGTAACCCCCATTTTTGGGGGGCGGGAGGAGTCGTGCTCCTGTTTCTTTCGAACGAGACGCACCTCTCTCTTTGGGAGCCTTCAGGGAACCAGCTGAAGGCGACCCAAAGGATTTTCTCATTGCTGTAACGACACCGATGTAGAATTCACTCGTGTGTGGGGGTTTTTTGCCTGAGACCAGTTGGTGGGGTGGGGGTGGGGATTTGGGGGAGGGGGCTGGGTCTCTTCTTAACTTTTCGTTTTAACGGAAGAAAGTGTCTGTGTATTCATTATCGTCCGTTTCCCATTCCCCGTCCCGACAGGACAAACTGTATTCTCTGTAAACGTCGCTCAGAATTGGCTCCGTTCAGGCCAGTTTCGCTGTAACGCACCCAGCCCATGCAGGATAACTCCAGGAGCGCCTTGGGTGTAATGTGCAAACTTTGGCCCCGATCCAGAAGAGCCTTTCCCGTGCATGGCAAAGGTTGGCTAATGAACTCTCAAGTATTCATAGCTGGGCTTTCCATTATGCAGCCTGCCCCCTTCTCCTTTCCCCATCAGACAGACTGCCCTCTTAAGGCTGCCTCTGTTTACAGATCTGTGCCAGAATAAGGAGCCTGGATCTGGGAAGGGCAGCCATGCTTGCCGGGGGCGTTGCTCCAGGGTTTCCCTTTCCCTCGAAAGAGGTTAGTAGGGAGTGGCTTCTCTAAAGGTTTCTGCAAAGAAGGGGTCGGGGAGGTGTTAGAGACATAATGTATAGCGCAAGGGTAGCAGGAAAAAGGCCACAGAAAATTCTTGTTTCTTGCAAACGGGCTTTGCTGTTCATAGTGTTTTTCTCCTTGCAGATTTGTAAGAAATTTGTCAAGTTGTCAATCCGAAATCTCCTTAAACCCAGATTGCTCAGGGAGTAATTAATAATTTAAAAACGAAACAGTAATACAAAATATTTAAAAAAATTGGAAAAGTTAAAAAAAAAAGCCAATCTTATAACGTGGCTTAATATCCTTAAATTATAGAGAATATAGAGGACTGTTACTTTCTTTCTTTTTTGCTTTTATTTATTTGCGGGTTTTTCTCTTAAGTGATTTTTATACCATCCACATCGTGATCCAAAACTGAACGGGGATTTTTGTGTGTTGTTGATGTTGCCGTTGTTATTGTTGTTTTCTCTTCTTTCCTGTGGAGGTTTTGAGTTGTGTTTTTTTCTGTTGCACTAGATAGCTGATGCTGTTTGAAATAGGTTTTTAATTGATTTGTTTTGCTTTGCTATTGTAAAGGATGTTAACTGGAGGGGGGCCGGGGGGCTGTTCTCTGCCCCCGCCCCTTCCCCCAGTTGTGTACTGTACAGCAAATGTGCGGATTTATATAGAAACGAGTTTGTACAAAATGCAGTTCCTGTTGCCCGGAATCCCCAAATCCCGATGCAACACGAAAGCTGTGAAGATCACACCAGCGAGAGCTGTGAAAGAGCTCTCTGAGTGTGCGTGAGTATAAGGGTGATCCCTTGCCTCTTTCCCCCTTGTTCTTACGATTTAGTTTTTCTTCATCACAACTTTTTCGAAGGACCCACGTGTACTGATGGCTCTTCAAGTAGCTTGTCAACGGTAAGAATGCAAACGTCCGATACTCTGGAGTTCTGCAGAATGCGAGGCGTGCGAAGGCAGCACTTTGCTCGAAAAGTAAAATAAAAACCAAGTTGTTCATTACTGTTACTTAAACTAAAGTGCCTCTATTTTATATATATTTTTATTTGTAGCTGGGAGAAAATTTGGTCGGATATGGTATTGTTAGGGAGTTGACTTTCAAAATGGGGGGTGGGAGAGAGTTCAGACTGGTCAAAAGGTTGCGTTAAATGATTTGAGATTGGCAGGGGGGAGAAGAGAAAAACAATGCAGTGTGCTTTGGAATAGGAAAGCGCAGAAAGGATGCCATCGCTCACGAGGTTCAGTCTGGTCAAGGGATCTGCCCTGCAGCCTAACAGATTTAGAGGGGCATCTAAAAATTCATCAGGTTCTTGATCTGCAGGATAAGTCCTGGGGAAAGGAAGGTGCCTTTTTTGCAGTGGCATAGCGTGGGTTGCCAGTGCCCGGGGCCACACGGAGGGGTGGGAGGGCAGGAAAAGGACGGAGTGCGCTTGCGCATTCAGCTGCCCAATGGCATCCGCGTCACCCAGCCACAGAGAAAAGAAAAAAAGAGTGGTTCCATTATCTGGAGAGGTCACTTCCTGGTTTGCATGAAGAAGCCGAGCCCTGTGACAAAAGCACACAGTTGTATTGAGGCAGCACCGGGCGTTGAAATTTTGCGCCTGGAGGAAACCGCCCACGCTATGCCACTGCTTTTTTTTTAACCTCCAGGACAAAATGATATTTCATTGGAGGAAGCAGGTTGTGTGGAACACCTTTGAGCAACAGCCATGTGTCCCAGCACAGACCACCATGATGGACTTGAGACATCCTGCAGTTGTTTGCTGCGTTATGAGAATCCAGACCCCCAATCTACTATTTCTGATTCTCCCAGTGGGCTCATCCATAAGTGCATCAAATGCTGGAAAACCCAGCATTCCCCACTTCTCCCACGGGAGAGGGGGCGCTTTGTGCAGTCTGCAACTGTGCCCCCCGCCTACATGCTGCAAAACGGCTTCCTGGAGCTGAACCTCAAACTTCTGGTTGGAATAAGAATTGCCTCGTGCAAGCTTTCTTTGGGAGGGAGTTCAGTTGGGTCCGGCTCAATCGAAAGGAAAGTGCAAGGAAGCAATTTTGCCAAGTGCCTCCACCATTACACAAGCCGTTTCGCCGTCCCACTGGAAGCGAGGTCATTGGTGATGTGGCTGCAGGAATGGGGCATGCAAAGTGACTGTTACGTCCCGAGCCTGTTCAGTCCAGTTGAGGACAAAGTCAGTGCCCTAAAGGAAGCTGTGTCAATCTTGGCATTGGTTTTGAAAGCTCGCCCATAGTGGTTGCAGCTGCTAGCACCACGTTCCCATTTAGGCTCGGAGTAGACCTGGGCTTGGTAGTCGAATCCATCATGATGACCCGTTGCAAAGTTGGGACTGTGAAGTCCTCTGGCATTTAATGCATTAAAAGCCACCCTTTCAGCCGGATCTTGACGGACTCTTGTCTGCGCTATACAAAACATTGAAAGGTGAGTTTGTGTCTGTTACGCAGCCTGGGTTGCTGGATCTTCCGGGATTTCCAGGGATCCACGCTGAACTGATTGCAGATCGGGGGAAGCAAGGGCACCGGTGGGAAATATTTCCTTGTGCTTCCAAAACCATTCTTGCTTTGCAACAAGCCTTGCTTGTTGGGCTACACTTGCCATTTCTTCTTGAGTTCTCATTTCCTAAACCATCTGCGTGCAGATGAAAATTCCATGTGCCATTTGTTGCAAACTTACATGTAGACTGGTGCTGGTGGACATAGCCACTTGTGTTCTTGTTTTTCGTTTTATTTCCTCTCTGTATCTCTCTCCTGGGTGTGTCATTCTAAAGATTTTTTTTCTTTCCAATTCATGCCAAAAAAAGAAAAGAGACAAAAAAGTGATAGTTTGTAAACTGAAGTATACTAATGTAGCTTAGTGGTAGCAAACCGTTTAGTGATTCCTAGGTGCAAGGATGTTTTTTAGCTAGCAGGAAATGCTGTGTATGTTATGAGACTGTACATTTTTCTTAAAAAAACGAAGAAGACGGCAATATGCAATAAAGAGTGTACATAACAATATGTGCGTGGAGGCTTATTTCTGGAGTGTATGGTTAAAATTTATAATTGTTGTTGTTTAGTCGTGTCCAACTCTTTGTGGCTCCATGGAGCAGAGCACGCCAGGCACTCCTGTCTTCCACTGCCTCCCGCAGCTTGGTCAAACTTGGGGAATAGATGTTGTTGAACTACGACTCCTAACAACCCCAGGCAGCCTGGCCAATGGACAGTGGTCATGGGAACATCTGGAGGGCCACAGGCTCTGCCCCTCCCATTCTAGGGAAGAGCGTGTCTGAGAAAATTCCCAGTGGTCAGTGAGAAGTAGGGAGATAAGGCATAATCCCATGACTGATCTGGTGTGGAAAGAAGCATTTGGGACCATTTAGTCCAAGTGTCATGGAATGGACACAGAGGAATGGTGAGAAGAACCAGCTGGGGAACCCCCAAGGGAAGAAGGCTCAGAGCCAGGGAAATAGTGATGGGACAATGATGAGTGGTCAGAGGGAGAAGAGAGAGAAGACTAGGAAGAGGAGGTGTCAGAAGCTGAAGAGGTAACAGGTCTTAGTGAGCTGGGAGAGTCTGTGGCAGAGGACGGTACAGAACCAGAGGCTAGAAAGAAAGGAGAGTGGCAGAGATGAGGCAGGCTGGTGAAGAGGCATGAGTGTCTCCACCTCCTGCTGCAACAAGCTCCCTTCCTCCGACTCCCAGTTCCAGAAGAGGCATGAAAAGAGCAGTGGATAAATTAACTTCATGCAGGTGCAGTCTCAGATTATGTGGGGAAAGCCTTGAGGAGGAAAGGACTTAGACAGTTGTGGGAAGGCAGGGACGTTCAGTCTCCACAGCTGCTTCATAGGGGCAAGACCTACTGAAGAAGAATGGTTGTTCTCATGAGGACTGCGACTCCTATGCAGACCCTGCTTCTTCTAATAGAGAGTTAACTCCACTTCATTTGATTTACTGCTGGCTCATTCCCGACACGTCTTCAGTGCACGTGTGTGACCATCCTTCCCTTACAAAGGTAAAATGCTTGTGGATGCTCATCGGTCATGGATGCTTTGGTTGAGATTCCTGTACTTCAGGGCTTTGGACTAGATCACCCTCAAAGTCCCTTCCAGCTCTATGATTGCCAGTCCCACGATGGGTCACACACACACACACACAAATATAAACAGGAGCAGATGATACATCAATATACCACAGGTGAACTAATCATAACTACCCTCCAACCCAATCTGGATCCATCTGCCCAGCATTTAAGCTGAGTCATCCAACATTATGCTGAGTAAACTAGCAGCCCACAAATGGCTGGGCAAATTGGTACACCGCGAGTCAGCACTGAAAAGAAAATGCGTTGCCTCTCGGCCATACCTTGAGGGTGTTCCACAAACAATGCCACCCGCCACCAAGTATATTACACAGTGATCACCGTTGTGTGGGGAAAATAAGTGAGGATGTAAAGTGTGAGTTGCCAACCTTTGAGGAACCAATGGGCAAAGTTAGAGGTTTGCGAAAGCACTATGTCTGCCATGACGGTATGGCAGGAGGGCCTCCATGTTTGCTGGAACAGCAAACAGTCTCTCACGCACTGTGAAATTACGAGGGGATTGTTACCTGATGTCAGGGACCGTGCTGAGGAGGGCTGCACTGAGGAATGGTGGGAGCCTCCCCCTGATCCTGATCCTGATTCTTCCCAGGAGCAGGAGGACAGTATAGATTTTGAACAGTGGTTTGCAGAGGGGCATAGTTCAGAAGGCAGAAGCTGGGAAATACTGGATGGGGAACAGCCAGCAGAAGAAACACTGGAAGAGAGAGTTGAAAGATTCACAATCTCTGGATAGCATTCACCCCCCTTCTCCAAAGTCACAGAGAGCTCAGAAAGTCTCAGAACAGAAAGAAGCTCAGATTCCAAGACGTAGGAGTGACGTAGATCAATAGGGACGGGGTGTGTGTGAGCCTTAATTGGTAGCACCGCCATTCTGGGTTGACGCTTTATTTTGCCCTTCGCTGTGTTTATTAAAGAAACCAACTGGTAAGAATTCCTTTCAGTTGATCTGCTCATTTATGGCCACAGGGGAGGAAACCGATTCCCCGAAGCCTGACACCTGAGACCTTTTCACAGATGCCACAGGAGGTATTGGCGGAGCCACTGGTGCCCACAGATGCCATGTTGACAAGCCCCAAAAAATCTGAATATGCAGCTTGCATTCTTAACCACCTGTGCTTGTGTGTGGCCACGTCTCGAGGGCTCAACAAAATGGTGCATCCAGACCCAGAGACTCAGCTGCTGCTGAAGATGAATTGCCCATGAAAGAGAACCTGTGTGAAACTGCCCTGCACCTTTTAGGACAGCCGCAGATGGTTTCAGGCAGGCAAAACCTGCCTACAATGGGAGCTTTCTAAAGTACTCCTGGAAAGCTTGCAACAGGCTTAGGTGACGTCTTCTCCCAGCTGCAGCCTGATCAGATTTTTATGTCTTCCGCCGGAAGCTGTTTAGTCCTTGCATTGTAAAGCTAACCAGTTGAAGATGTCTTCTTTATTTTCCCTTCCGCCCCTCTGTGATCCTGCACACAATCACACTGTGAGGGCTGCTAATTTGATTCAGCCCCTAGATCTTCTCACGGGAACCTATATTTGCTGGCGGGGGGGAACGGGTAGTGATATTGCTGGTTTGCAGGACATGTGATCCCTGCACAAACTGCTGTTGCAGGAGCCAGCTGGGCTGCCTTATTTTGCAGGTCAGTTGGCAACCTTCTCCCATGCTTTGGGGATGCATTTCACTCCAGTCCATGTCAATGAGCCAGGAACAATTTCCTCCTCCTTTAGAGTGTGCACACATGGGCACATCAAATGACTTGATCCCTGGGAACACAGGAAACTTCCGTGCCCTGCCATTGATCCAGGTAACTCACTCTTGTTTGCTGCAGGGCAACTGGATCTGCTTGGAGAGAAAGATCTTCCTCTCACTTGCCCTATGGGCCAAATTTGACAGGTGGGCAAAGCAATCCATCTATCAGCTACGGTGGCATTAGAAGCCGTTGGGCTTGGGAACGGGTTTTATTTTCTCTTTGGCTTTGCAAGCAGCCACGATCTAATCTGTATGGCCATAAATCCATCATACGCAGCCCCTGCCAAATCTGCATCCCCAAGGCCCTTCCAGGAGAATTATTGTGTTTCTCCCAAGCGCAGACTCAGAAGAAGGTGTACATTAAAATAGGAGAGGATTTCCTCCACAACTTCCTTTAATTTCTCGGGAGAATCCTCCGTGTTGGTTGCAGAGCTTGGGAAGATTCCTTGGCCACCCGCTTTCTTTTCTTCCTTCCTTTTTAAAAGAGACTAATTTAATCAAGATTGCGCAGAGATTTCTCCTACTGCACAGAGTGAAAAGCAGCAGCTCCATCTACTGGTTCAAAGTCTCCTTCCTTCGGCACCTTCACCTGTGCTGCTTGCATCTTTCTGGCGGTTGCTACATCAGAGTCCTTTTAATAGTACAGTGGTACCCCGCAAGACGAACGCCTCGCAAGACGGAAAACCCGCTAGACGAAAGGGTTTTCCGTTTTGGAGGCGCTTCGCAAAACGAATTTCCCTATGGGCTTGCTTCGCAAGACGACAGCCCATAGGGAAATCTCAGGGACAGCGGGGAAGCGCAGCGCGTCTTCCCCACTGTCCTCGGACCTCCTCCGAAGCCTGGCGGCGGGGCGGGGACACCTCCTCCCGCCGCCGCCGGGCTTCGGAAGGCTCCTCCGAAGGCGGGGGGGAGGGAACACCTGCCGCCGCCGCCCGGCTTCGGAACGGTGCTCCGAAGCCGGGCGGGGGGGGAGGGAAGACCTCCCACCTCTGCCCGGCTTCGGAACGGTGCTCCGGCCGGGCGGTGGGGAGGGAAGACCTCCCCGCCGCCCGGCTCGGAACGGTGCCCGGGCCGGGCGGGGGAGGGAACACCTCCGCCGCCGCCCGGCTCGGAACGGTGCTCCGAGCCGGGCGGGGGAGGGAAGACCTCCGCCGCCGCCCGGCTCGGAACGGTGCTCCGGGCCGGGCGGGGGGAGGGAAGACCTTCTGAAGGCGGGCGGGGGCGAAAGTCTTTGCTCCCCTGCCTGCCTGTCCCGGGAGGGCTTTAGGCAGGGGGAGCAAGACTTCGCCCCCGCCCGCCTTCAGAAGAGGTCCAGGACCTCTTCTGAAGGCTGGCGGGGGCAAAGTCTTTGTCCCCCTGCCTGCCTTCCCAGGGGCTTTGAATTGCCCCGGACAGCGGAGAAGTCCTCCGCTGTCCCGGGGTGATTTTAAAATGCCGCCCGCCAGCATTTTAAGATCGCCCGGACAGCGGAGAAGTCCTCCGCTGTCCCGGGTTTTTTTAAAATGCTGGGGGTGGGAAGAAAAGCCCTTGCCCCCCCCCAGCCTTCAGAAGAGGTCCGGGGACAGACTGTCCCCGGACCTGGTCTGAAGGCGGTTTCCCTAGGAACGCATTAATTGATTTTCAATGCATTCCTATGGGAAACCGTGCATCGCAAGACGAAAAACTCGCAAGACGAAGAGACTTGCGGAACGAATTATTTTCGTCTTGCGAGGCACCACTGTACCGAACAAATAGCTAACATCAGTGTGGGTCTCACTTTACAGATTAACATATGCAAAACAACAATACAACACACTGCCTCAAAGTAAATTTAGACAGTGGAGTAAGTGGCAATGTGGCTGTGGGTGGAAGTAGCATTTTTTGGTTTTCTATGAGTAATGTTGTGGCTCAGTGCTTAGGGCGTCTGCTTTGGGTTTTGCATGCAGACAGCTGCAGGTTCAAACCTTGGCATCTCCAGGTAGAGCTCCTGCCGGAAACCTTGGGCGGTTGCTGCCAGTCAGTGCAGACAAGATTGAGCTAAAAGGCAACTTCTTATGATTCTTGGAAGCAGAGCAAGTTACTCAAAACAGGCAAGTGGTTGACTTATCCTAAGGCAATACTTCTGTAATAGTATGAGAATTACTGTATGGGACAAAAATGGCAAACAGAGGAAAGACCAACAAATTTTAGGCAGCAGGTTATTTTTTAAAAAGTCACTTTAATAGATCCTTGCTGGTCAGGCACCCAAAAACATTTGGGAAACTCCTGCAAAAAATAAAGGAGTAAAAGCTTTGTGTTGTATCCAACACTGTAGGAGCAGTGGCCCAGCTCCGAGGGCCTTCTGGCGGTTCCCTCATTGCAAGGAGTGAAGTTACACAGGCAGAGGGCCTTCTCGGTAGTGGCGCCCTCCCTGTGAAATGCCCTCCCATCACATGTCAAGGAGATAAATAACGATACAACATTCTGAAGATATCTTAAGGCAGCCCTGTATTAGGAAGTTTTTAATGCTTGATGTTTAGTTGTGTTTTTATATTATGTTGGAAGTCGCCCAGAGTGGCTGGGGCAACCCCCAGGGTGTAAATAATAAAGTATCATCATCATCATCCTAAATGCTTCCTTAATAGTGAGCAACAGGCAGGCATCAGGTATTTAGGTGAGTGCCTGCTTCAAACTCACGTGGGCTTTCCATGATAACTGATCCAGCCATGTTAATGTATAAATCTGATCTTCCAAATTATGGTGCATTTTGCATTTGTGTTATGAATACAAATTTGCTGCTTTAATGCTGCTTGCCTATGGTAGCAATGGTGGTACAGATATGTCAACAGTGTGTCGTAGCAGCAAAAAAGAAAAAGAAAAGCTAATGCTATTTTAGGCTGCATCAACGGAAGTCTAGTACCCTGATCAGGGGAAGTAATAGTACCACTATATTCTTGCCTTGGTCAGACCACAAATGGAATACTGTGTCCAGTTCTGGCACCACAGCTTAAGAAAGATATTGACAAGCTAGAACATGTGCAGAGAAGAGCAACCAAGATGATCAAGGGTCTGGAAACCAAGCCTTAGGAGTTAGTTATGTTTAGCATGGAGAAGACGATATCTCTGAGAGGTGATCATAAAATCATAGAATTGGACGGGATGCCAAGGGTCATTTAGTCCAGCCCCTGCAATGCAGGAATCTCAGCTAAAGCATCCATGACAAGTGGCCATTCAACCTCTGCTTAAAAACCTCCAAGGAAGGAGAGTCCATCACCTTCCAAGGGAGACCGTTCCACCATCAAACAGTTCTTACTGTCAGAAAGTTTTTTTGATATTTAATTGGTATCTCCTTTCTAGTAACTTGAAGGCACTGGTTTGAGTCCTAGCCTCCAGAGCAGGAGAAAACAAGCATGCTCCCTCCTCCATGTGACAGCCTTTGAGATATTTGAAGATGGCTCTCATATCTCATCTCAGTCTCCTCTTTTCCTGGCTAAACATACCCAACTCCTTCAAGCGCTCCTCATAAGGCTTAGTTTCCAGGCACTTAATCATCTTGGTTGCCCTCCTCTGCACATGTTCCAGCTTGTCAACATATAAGAGCCATCTTCAAATATCTGAAGAGTTGTCATATGGAGGATGGAGCAAGCCTGAACCAAAGGCTTCAGATAACAAGGAGATTCCAACTAAATATTAGGAAGAACATTCTGATAGTAAAAGTTTAAAGGTAAAGGTAAAGGACCCCTGGACGGTTAAGTCCAGTCAAAGGCGACTATGGGGTTGCGGTGCTCATCTCACTTCAGACTAAGGGAGCCGGCGTTTGTCCACAGACAGCTTTCCAGGTCATGTGGCCAGCATGACTAAACCGCTTCTGGAACAACGGGACACCGTGATGGAAACCAGAGCTCACGGAAACGCCATTTACCTTCCCGCCACAACAGTACCTAATTATCTACTCACGCTGGAATGCTTTTGAACTGCTAGGTTGGCAGGAGCTGGGACAGAGCAACAGAAGCTCACCCCGTCACGGAGATTTGAACCACTGACCAGCAAGCCCAAGCGGCTCAGTGGTTTAGACCATGATGCCACCCGCTAGTGTATACTAGCTAGTGTATACTAGCTTATTGCACAAACAAATAATCACATTATGTCACCTACTTTTGCTTCTGATTCCATCGACCACTGGTATATGGGGCCCCCAAAATCTTTTCCAGAGTGGAAAGTGGCTCCCAGGATGGAAAATGTTCCCTATTCCCTGTTGGAAGGAAATACTTTGTGCTCCTTTGTGGGGGGGGGCAGGACCCCCAAGCACCTGCTTTATTTCTTCTCTCGTGAAATAAGGTAACATCACACTTACAAAAGATGATATATACATAGAGGGTCTTTGTATTTATAACAATTTCACACAGAGTAGGGCAAACAGTTCAGTTAAGGCCTCTGGGGAACACATGGAAATAACTTCTCCACCAGCTGTGTCCTTGGAGCCACGGCACTGGCAGAATGGATCATGGGCTTTGGAGTCCCAGCTTTCATCTGAACCACAGCCCCACACACCTAGGCTCACCTGGCCGAAATACAGATCCGCCCCCTTCTTTTTAAATCCCCCCCAAATGTTCAGGGGGTGCAGCTGGGGCTTCTGCTTTTCTCCTAAGTGTGCTCAATATTGTGAGAGCCCTGCTGTTTGAGGCCAAGAGGCCAGCACTTGATTCTTACGGCTGCCAGACGGATGGCCACAGGAAGCTTGCAAGCAAGACCTGACTGCAACAGCACACTGCCCAGCTGCAATTCCCAGCAGCTGGCCTTTAGAGTCATACTGCCTCCAGCGGTGGCATGGGGACATAGAGCCATTGTAGCTAGCAGCCATGGATAGCTTCATCATCCATGGAAGCGGAATGCAAAAGGTTCATGTTTTTTGTAGGGCGGTGGGGGGTTGATAAGCACTGAAACAGGTCAGTTGTGACGAGAATGGGATATCCTGCAAGTCACAAGTGGCGACCTCACCTGCTGATACAACAAGGACACCAGCAGAGCTGCCTGTCTCCACACCTAGTGCCTCTTGTGATTGCAAAAAAATGGGGGGGGGTGTGCAGAGACTGGCACAACAGACTCCTAAGGAGCACCAGAGCAGCCCAAGAGGGAACCAGCCCCTTTGCAATGCTCTGCTTTCTGGTCTTTTTAATGTAAGATGCTTTAATGCGCCAAGTTGGGCGAGTCTGTGCTCAAATCTTCCATGCTTGCTATTCAAACAGCTTGGTGCGCTCTCTCATTGCTGCCGGGGTGGTGGTGTCTAGCCAGGATTTTTGTCCCTGGTGATGCCTCTTGGAGGTCGCCCTTTAAGGTTCCCAGCCTATGTGTTTGTGTACACAAATGTGCATGGCGGGGGGGGGGGAGTCAATTGGGATCTTTCACCTGGGTGAAATAAAGCCTCGTTTCGCCCCTGCACACAAACACACGCCCCTTTTCTCTCTTACCTCCATAATTTATTATTTATACCCTGCCCAACTGGCTGGGTTTCCCCTGCCACTCTGGGGGGCTTCCAACAGAATATTAAACAGAATAAAACATCAAACATTAAAAAATTCCCTAAACACCTTAACACTCATCAAGGACCTGTCTCACCCAGGGAGAAGGACTCAATGAGGTGTCGCAGCAAGGTCAGCAAGGGGCATGGCTTCCTGAGCTGAGGGCCAGGAGAGTCACATGTGGCCCTCAGTTCCTCACCTCTGCCCTTAAGCAAACTCTGCTCACTTTCTCTCCCTTCAGCTCAGTGCTGGGCTCCTGATGAGGCTCAGCCAGTTTCTAACACACCTTTTAATTCCCATGTCCCAAGGACACGGAAAGAAGCAGCACCCACAGCTGCAGTGATTTTACAGATCAGCCAAGGGAATAGTTGGGCTTGTCCAAACTCCCTCTTGTCCTGCTGCTTCTCCCACCTGCTTCCAGGGGGCAAAACACTCTTTAGAGTGAAGTCGGAGCAAATGGCAATTTGGGCTTTCTCCAGATTGATGTTTGCCCAGGCCCTTGCCTAGAAATCTGCTCGGACCCATGTTTTCTAGGCACAGGGCAAGAGAAAGAGTGGATGAGCCCAGAGACTGACTGGGAAAGTCCTGGGTTTCAAAAAATGACACAGGATTCACAGTGGCGCCTTTGATTCACAGCACATCCTTCCAGTCTCTGTAACAATGTCCCAGTTGTGATGATGAGGCTTCTGAGTGCTTGGCTTTCCCAGCCTTGCCATTAGGCCAGCTCTGGTCCACCTCTGAGAGTGTTTCACAGGCTGGTATCAGCAGCGCCCGTTTTTCCTTGCTGCAAGCCGCCTTCGGAAGCAGTGTCTGGCCACCCATCCCGGCAGAAGAGCAGCGCCGGGTTCCTGCAGGCCCACACCCCCAATTCCCCTCCGCTGGCCGGGCTGGAGGAGGTGAGGGTGCTTCCCACGGTGCCTCCGCTCCCATGGCTGGCGTACCGCTCCGCCCGGCTCTTGCCCTCCAGGCGGCGGCCTTGGGTGGCAGCCAGCGCCACCGCAGCCACATTGCCCCTTGTCCTGTACCCCCCTTCCCGGTTGCGCCCGAGCAGCATGGCAATGTTGGGGTTCCGGGCGGCGTAGATGAGGGGGTTGATGGCTCCATTGGCCCAGGCCATCCAGCAGGCCACAGTGTCCACGGCGGGCGAGAAGGAGACGTGTCCCGTGGCGGCGGCCAGCCCCAGGACACAGTAGGGCCCCCAGCAGCAGATGATGGAGACGATCATGATGAGGACCGTGGTGGCTGTCCGCATCTCGCCGTAGTAGCGCAGCAGGTGCCCGTAGGTGGTGAGGGGGCGCACCCTGCTCTCCGAGCGCCGAACTGCACGGCAGATGTTGTAGTGGCAGAAGCACATGAGGGCGAAGGGCAGCAGGTAGCACAGGACGATCAGCGCGGCGCCGTAGGGGGGCCCCAGGCGCGAGGACCCCCAGGGCAGGGCATACATGCAGTGGTAGGCCTCGGGCCCCGCTTCCTCCTCCTCTTCCTCGTCCTCCCTCCGGCCCAGCAGGTACCAGGGCCCCGAGAAGCCCAGCGCGGCCAGCCAGACGGCGGCCAGGAGCTGAGCGGCCCTCCGACGGCCCATTTTGCGCCTGGGCTGGCGCACGATGGCGCAGTAGCGGTCGAAGGAGAGCAGCGCCATGGTGAGCGTGGCGGCGATGCCCAGGCCGGCGTGGGCGGCGGCGCTGGCCAGGCACAGGCGCGGCCCGAAGAGCCAAGCCCCGTGGGGGCGCCCGCTGAGCAGGCTGGCCAAGGCGGGCGGCAGGCACAGCGCGGCGCCCAGCAGCTCCGACAGCGACAGCGACAGCACGAAGGCGTTGGTGACCGTGCGCAGAGGCCGGTGCCGCGCGATCACCACCACCACGGCGCCGTTGCCCAGCGCCGACAGCGCGAAGATCAGCAGCAGCAGCAGCGCCTGCGACGCCAGCGACGCCCCGGACCAGCCCCACGCCGCGTCCGCCTCCGACGGGGCCTCCGGCACAGGCACCTGGCCGCCGCTCTCGTTGCGCCCCGGCGCCGAGCCGTTGATCAGGAGCAGCAGCGCGGATCCCTCCATGGCCAGGCGCCTTCCCGGCCCCGAGAGGGAGACCGGCGGCTCCGTGAAGCGAGAGAGGCGCGCTCCGGCCGGCCCGAGGTCCCGGAGGTGACTTAAGGCGCACTTGGAGAGCCCCGGGCGCAAAGCTCCATCTGGGGACTCTGCCCTCTGCTCCTCACCCGCGCGTCTGGTCTGGCCACCGGCGCGAAAGACAGCTGGAGGCGCCGGCCTTTGGGATCGTTGCCCGGCCTCCTCGTCGGACGGGAAGGGTGCGCCCGGCGGGGACGCGGCGGCGGCGGAGGCTCCTTGGGTGGCGCAGCCTCCGCTTGCCGCAGAGGCGCGGGATTGCTTCGGCGCTCGCTGCGCGCCCGGCACATCTCTCGCTCTCTTCCGCGTGGCAGAGAAACCTTCGGGGGCTCGGGGAGTCGCTGACGTCTCCGCAGTCGGTTGCCCCGGGAAACCACGATGGCGCACACGCTGGAGAAGCAGGCAGCCGCGACGACCCCATTCTCTCCCCAGCCCGCCCCAAACGCCCTTCTGGCCCCTTCTTTTCTGCCGCCGTGCGGACAGGTCCATGCATTTCTTCCTGGACGGCTGCCTCCTTCATGAGCTTCTTCCCGACAGCGCAGCTTCTCGCCCGTTGCGGCATCTTTTTGGATTTCTGCGCATCGCGAGGGAGGGGGCGTTTGCTGTGCAGGGGTCAAGTGTGCAGATCCTTGCGGATGGGCGAGAAAGCAGACGTTTGCAAGATCGGGCGGCAGGCAGGGCAGCGCTTTTAAAGGGCTCCTGCGCTGTTTCAAGTTGCCACCTGCTAGAGGCTCAAGAATAAACAGCGCCGGACACACGGAAAAGGAGGGAAGCCTCGCCATCAGGTTCCCTCTCTGCTAGGAAAAACATTCGTTCTTGCAGACCTTGGAGAAAGGTGACACGCAAGAACTAGATGGAGCAAGGCCATTGATTCATCCAAGTCAGCAGAAACAGCTTTTTCATTCCCTTCGATAACCATGTCAAGTGAGGGGTGAGGGCAGACCAAGGGATGCGATTCCTAACTTTTGTTCGGAATCTAACGAATAGCATTTGTTCAGTAGCCTAGGCCAAGTCCAGCCACATACATCCAAGAGGTCTTAATGCACGCACACTCATTTCTTTGTCCAGGAAAGTTCAGTCTACAGCAAGCCAAAAAGCACTTGAGGGGTGCAGTCTGGGGAGAGGATGGAGGCTGCCAACAGTCCCAATGGCCAGATACAGAGGAGTGAAGGGACATATTTTGGCCTCCAGGCCTGGGGTTCACCATTGCTGCTGCACAGTCTCCACTCAGCCCTGGGTGACCAAATGCAGCATTTTGTGAAGAGGCAAGTTAAAGCAGTGCAGCTTTTTTCTTACTGTTGCACAACTGGAACTGCCAGTCTCTGTGTGCAGTTTGCCAGGGCTCCCCCACTTTTCCCACGCAGACAACAGCTAGAATGATGGGAGCTGCAGTTCAGCAACAGCAGCAGGTTCCCCACTCCTGTTCTAAGCCAAACAGTCCCTCAACTTTTACTTGCCATGACACACAGCTCACAAATGCAATGATGGTCATCATAAGGACATGTGGCTGAGCAGGTTTGCTATTAATTAAACAGGGCTCTGAGGTCAATGAAACTATTCCAACACTTTGGGTACAAAGGATTTTCTCAAGCTGAAGACTTCAAAGTGTTCTGAATAATTCATGCAACCCACACTTGGGAAGATGCTATCCTGATATGAGGTACCAAACAGTGCAATGATAGAGGTATATGTCTCAGCTGTTCCTTCTTGAACAGGTTTTTGGGGTATTCAGAGAAACCTGCAAAAATCTATTTAACCAGACGTACAGCAGGACACCCTAGGGAAGAATGGCTGCATCATACTATTTTCAAACCAAACTATTTGTCTCCAACGAAGGTCACAACCTAAATCAGTTGCCCTTGACAACTCTTAAGGAGGCGATGTTTAAATTTTTATTATAGATAGAAAGCATAGTATGACGACATAATTCTTTAATTTTATTTTACAAGGTGGGGCTGCAGCATGCTTAGTATTCCACTTAAAAACAAAAAGCCCTAAGTGGTTTTACATAAGACAATATAAAATATTAACTAAAATACTGATAAATTTAAATGTTAAAACTAAAGCATATTTTAAATGAAGCTTGTGGTGCGGAAGTCATACCTTCTTCCTCTTTTGAGAATCAGGATTCCAGAGCTTGACTTATTGCTAGAGTCTGTTACAGGAAATAAAGAACTTATAACACATTCTTTAATCAGGTGCCTGTTGATATCCCAGGAACTTCACACAAAGAAGGGAAATGTTAAAGTATTGCGTTCAAACATTTGCACCTGCACTGCAGCATTACAGTAAAGGTTAAAGACGTTCAGCAATGAAAACAGCATAAAGAGACATAACAGCCATCAAAAAGCTCTAAGAAATGTAACATACAAATTCTGTAGCACTTTGAATATAAAAATGGCCCCCTGCAGGGGTTATTTCGCAGTCTTGTTCATTAGGGTACTGCATTCACCTCAGGCAGGACACAAGTCAGAGGTAGGAACCTCACCTTTGAAAAAATCAAACTGTCTTGGAATTTGAAGCAGATTGGCTCCAAAGCTGCGGTAGCCAAAATAGGCTGGCTTCGGAACAGTTTTGAAGCCTTCAGAGGTCTTCTAAGTTGCTGTTTTTAACTAGTTTGACATGCTTTTACAAAGTCACGCAAGTTGAAATTGAAAGTGCCAGGCAGAAAGGAGGGGGGCATGTAGGTGTTTCAAGGATAATCAGAGTATTTGGTCAAGAAGGTGCAACACTACCCAGACAAACTTGTGGTGTTATACAGGTATGCCCAAACTCTGATCTCAAGGGTTGGAGGCTAATGGCAAAGACATGTTCAACACCGCCCGCCCCCCAAGAGAATCTCCCACATAAATGAGCTTTCATTTTATTCTTTATCAAACCAGACCAGGTGAATGAGCCTGTGGGGTTGAAGAAAGGGGAAGAAACCGCCATCCCTTTCCTGCTTATCAATCTTGACCAGCCTACTGCTAGTAACAGGAACAAGCATTTATATATGTATATTGGTAATCTTTACAACAACTTTGTAAAGCATGTCAGTATTATTATCTCCCTACTGAAGATGGGGAGGGTGTAGACTTAGTAGGGCCTACCTAAGGCGATCAAATGAACCTGCTACTTCACAGTTCAGTCTTAAGACACAGTGCCACACTATCTCCTATTACATTTTATATACAGACAAGGAGCTTCAGAACCACTTTGGTGAAACTGAATGAGAGCCTTAATCACCAGTAAGATAGAGGGTAATTCCAGCAATTAAAAGAAAGCAAAATACACATATCAAAGTAAACAGGGTTATTGGAAGCAGTATAGTAGCACAGTCACTTAAGAAAGAAACCGTATTTCAGTGGGTCCTCCTCCTCAAAAGTGAAGGTTGACATTCCAGTATAAAAGGATTCTCCAGAGACTTCTACAATAACAGCATTGTGGTCACCACATTTGGTTTCCTGGGTCAAAAGAAAATGCTTCAGATTAATTAGGAAAAATACACTGGTTTACTTACAGCACAAACTTTTGTAGGCAGCATCTGAATACATGTGATGATGTATACATCTAAACTAAAGTGACAATGAAAGAACAGAACAGAATATAAAGCCAGTATTTAAGGCTTAAATTGTTTACATTATGTTTTAAGCAAAAGTGAGACAATTTACAAAAATAAATGAAAACCATTAATCATTTGGTCCTAATTAATATAATGGCATCATGATCTTATAACAAGATCAGTTTTTCTTGGCTTGCTGAGAGCATTTGATCCACAATTGAAGTAACCCTGCTGTGAATGTTGGAAGAATTCAAGCTATCCGACTAAACAAGACCCAGGGATAGCAAAGCCACCACTCCATCACATACTTTTTATTTTTCTAAATTACCAAAGATAAATGTTTGGAGCTTGCCTTTATTGCTTTTCCAGTGAACAGGGAACCAGTTGTACTGCTTCTGAAGGTCCTGGTCTGGTTCAGCTGAATGAGTCCTTTATGGTATTGTAGAGCAATGCGAGCTGTCACACCCGACCCGGTAGGACTTCGGTCAACCTGGTTTGGAGAAAAGCAGACGTCTTTTAGCTGCATCATTCAGAAATGCAACAAATGTAATTAATGACTTTTACTTTTTTAAAAGGTGCCTGAATTATATCCCTGAATTATGCTATTCAATATTAAAGAGAGAAAGTGGCCATGTGCACCCAGAAACTTAAAAGCTACCTAGAACAAATTTTCCCAACCTTTTTCTGACTGTGGCCCCCTTCTGACTTTCTTTCCTGTCTCTCCCCATAGGCGTAGCCAAGGGGGAGCCGGGGACAATTGCCCTCCCTCAATAATTAAAAATCCATACAAATCTGAGGTTCTGCCCCCCCCCCCAACAAAAACCTGCCCCCCTAACAAAAATCCTGGCTATGCCCATGCCCCCTCCCCGTCCTATTGGTAGAAAGGTAGCTATTTAAATATTTTGTTTGTACAATTACATAGAATGATAGGAACATAATGAAATATTGTTGAAGCAGAAAAACATAGAATAATGGAGCTGAAAGGAACCCCAAGGGTCATCTTTCTAGTCCAACCCCCTGCAATGAAGGAAACTCAGCTAAAGCATCCATGACAGGTGGCCATCCAACCTCTGCTTAGAAACCTCCCTGGAAGAGTGCAGAACCTCCTGAGGGAGATCAATCTTCCATGTACTATAAAAAGTAAACAACACCTATCTGACCCATTATTTGACACAGAGGGGAAACCTACAGATACAGTCCAAAAGGCACACGGGGAGTTCTGTATATATGGGAGAATTTTAAAAAGGAGGGGTTCCTCACTGACCTGGTGCAAAAAGTTGGAAGTTGCCTAGCTCCACAACAGAAGCCAAGTCTTTCTTTTTTTCCTGGCCAAGATGGTAGATACATTTCCCCATTAAGCATCATTTGGGTCAATTTGTCAGGCCGGGAAATATTTTGTTTCTTTCTCGATTCACTTAATTTGTCAATCAGATCTTGGACTTTGTTACTCAGTTCTATGTTCCTAGCTCTATACAGCTCCTAGTGTGTCTCAGAATTTAAGAGCTGTATAGAGCAAGGAATGCAGAATTGAGCATCCTACAGATATGCTGCCTTTTCCTTTTCTCTACTACAAATATAAATTGGGAACCCCTGTGATGAAAAGGGGCAAGGTGGAACTTCTCTTGCACAGTATTCTCTACCTGTGCATCTGCAAACACACATATGTTGCTTGTTGGTTCATCGCTAAATGAATCTTTCCCATCTGTCAGGATAGTCCCATAAATGAAAGCCGTGTCTTCAATCTCAGGATGGTGAACTTTGAACTAGAAGACGAAAACAGAAAATGGCATCAGATAAATGCAACAAAGTAGCAATAATAATAAGGACCTCACAGACTATGTGCACATCTAGTATTATTACTATTAAGAGGATGTATAGCTCAGGAGAAGGAATTGACAGTCTCTTTGTAGTACTGGAACCACGTGCTTAAAGACCATCTGGATCCCATTGCTCCTAGCTAGCAAAGCCAATGGTCAACAATGATCATAATTGCAGTCCAAAACATCTAAAGGGTGCCATGTTGGCTACCCCTGGTCCAGGTCCTTACAATATGCCTTGAGGCCAAGTTTGTACAGATGTTAGAAGGCTGCTGCACTTATTTTCAGTAACCTCCCAATGAGAAAACAGCAGCTTCCATGGAATTATCATTGAGGATATCACAGTTCAGTTTCTGCTGGAGACTTTTCTTGGATTTCACCCCGCCCCCGCACCTTCTTCCTAGCACTGAGCACCCCAGTTCCCACTCCCAACTGCTCCAAAGCATCTCACTATATGAACAGCAAACGACTTTTAGACACTTAAGAGTGGACAAGACTGCATAAATCTGTTTCTAAGACAAAGCTAGTCAAAGTGATTTCTGTCTAACAAAATAATGTATACGTTATATTGAAAGGATTATGGAAAAAGATTGGCTGCCCACAAAAAAACAGGACTTTGATATTTTTAACAATCAATGCATGATTTGCATCAGCTCCATTTGGAAGAGAGAAACCTCATTCACAATATTATGCAGTCTGCCAATCAGGCTTGGAAACAGTAACTTAGTAATCTATGGCAAGGAAGACTTGCTTCCAAGTGAACTTGAAGAGGCATAACAACACTGGTTTTCTTTTGTTTTATGTTACAAATAACTAATATAGGCAATATATGAACAAGTAGATTAGTAATTTAAAGACATTTAACTCATAGATTTATTTAAAAGTATATAAATAATTTAGTTATATTGTACAATACAGAAAAATCTGACTATACCTGAGCCTTTACTGCTTCAGTTACTGCAGATGCTGCATCTACTAGATCCCTAATCCTTGAAGAAGAAAGATCAAGTCCCAATCGATCAGCACTGACAAATGCATAGAAAGTGCCACCATATCCAACATCCACAACTACTTTTCCATAGCCAGGAACATCAACGGTTAAATCTAATAATCAAGAAAAGGACAAGGCATTACTGCAAATAATTCACGTTTCCCCTCTGTAATCTGTTCTGACATCCGCTCACCCCAAACAATAGTGCCTATCTACCTATTATGGTGACAGTAGTATCAGTTAAGAATGCTGAAAAGCAGTCTGGTAACTAAAGACTAAGGGAGCAATGCAAACCCCAGATCTGCTGGGATGAGCGAGGTATCTGGGTCCACCAGCCTATGCTGGCATAAGCACATTCCAGCTCATCCTGAGAGATGCCAGCATAACTCCCTCAGGACAGCATAGCTGGCTGAGACCTATGGCAGCAAAAACCCTGAAGAATGGGTGTTCTGGGGGAGAGACTGAACCGGGGGACTTATATCAGGGGGACTGTATCCTAATCTGGCAACCAGCAGAATTTACACTGGAAAAACGGTGGAATAAGTCAATCTCTATAAAGGTTTGTCTTTCCTCTACCAGGCTTAGGCCAATTCAGGCAGTTAGTAGCCTTGTTACTGAACAGCTTGGAACAGGAGTGATTTATGCCAGTTTAGTTTAAACCAGTTTAAAGTTTGGCTTCCTATAGTTAGGTCTGCTCCTTAAGAGTAATTAATTGAGCACCAGTCATCAGAACATTTTTACCATCCTGCAAATTAACATAGACTTCTTTTTCAGGCAGCACAACAGACACAGAAACAATTAGGATCCCCCAGTAACTTAAATACTATTATTTGAAACAAGTGGAACAAACATTGTGCTATAACAATTGTTCTGTCTGTGCAAGCATTGCTTGCTATATGGAATGATCTCCCCCCCGCCCCCCCACGTGTTGTTCTGGGGTTCTCCCTACCCGCAAGAGCTGATGGGGAGACAGAGGGCATGCAGAAGATCAGGGGGAAGCCCTGTTGTGCTGAGATGACTTGTGCTGGTTCCCAGTAGCACGACTATTTAGTTGAATCTGGCCCAATATATCCTTGCCTCCTACCAGGAGAGTTCCTGTTCAAGGTTCCAGCCAGTTACTCTCTTCTTTAGCAAAGTCCATTTCATTCCTCTCCCTTTTCTTTTCCAACCAATGATCAACACTGCATGACTACAGAGCATGATTTCACTGAGCATGCACTGGGCAAATAGGGGCTTGTTATTTATTTTTAAAAATAAACTGCCAACTTAGCGTCTCAGACAACAAAACGTACAGCTCACTAGAACATTCATGAAAGGAAGTGTCGTGCAGATAGGTGTTCTTTCCAAGATGCAAAGTTAGAGCCTGGGGAATAGCAGAAAAGAAGGTTAGTCATATTTGTTGATTATCTAGCATGCAGGGTCAGAATAATAAAAAGCATATTCCTACATACCTGACCTGACACCTACTTTTTGTGCAAATCTACACATTTATGAGCCTTGTTATCAGTTAAAATTGAACTATTGTGGTTTCCCAAAAAGGATCCTGGGAATTTTAACTTTAGAGAGGATACCAAGAATTATATTAGAGGTTCTTGCCCACACCCGCCTTCACAGAACTATAACTTTCAAGATTCCTTGGGGAAACCAAACTTTTATTTGAAGTCTTAAGTGGAGGCAAGTCATTTGCTACTGCGGAACTATTCAGACCATGAGAGAATTCATGACTTCATTTAGATTCTTCCCACACCTGGGAACTAAATAAGAAGTTCATTCTAAATTTCTCCTATCAGTTATGGGATTGTGCAGTCAGAATTAAGGAGAAAATGTGGTTAAAAAAAAAAGAGGATCCCATTAAACTAAAGCTAATTGTCATTTTATGTTACAGGTAGGTAGCCGTGTGGGGACTTCCGTAGTCGAAACAAACAAACAAAAATTCCTTCCAGTAGCACCTGAGAGACCAACTAAGTTTGTTATTTTATGAATTGTGCAATTAACTTGCTGCTTCCTGCAAGAAGAAAATGATACTGGATCTCCATCTCCACTCAGTTTGATAAAAAAAGTAGTTAAGTGCTTCATACCACCCAGGGCTCCTTTGGCACAGAGGGTGGGCTATAAATTAAATAAATAAATAAATAAAACAAATAGCACTAGTGAACAAAATATACCTGAAACCACAGCAAGGCAATTATGTATGGAAACAGAGAGGAAGCCCACTTTAGGTAGAAAGTAGAGCATGATGTACCTGTAACAGTGGAATGAGAAAATGACCTGCCTTGCAAATCAAGGAAAGCCACACAATGGCTTTCTGGAACTACATGATAATGGTGGCTCCCAGAGATGATCTCACACCCACTTTGCTTCTCGTCAGGTCCTGTAACTCAGTGCAGTGCAAATCAAGGTTTGGCTTAGCATGTTGCCCAAACCCAGGATTGTGGATAAGCTTTCTCTTCCTAACCATGATCTGTAGCCAAGAACAAACCTTAAGGAGAGAGTTTAACCAAGATCCCAACGACTGAGGAGGGGAAAAGTGAGCCAGTGTGTTTGCACTAAACCATAGTTTGGTTTGGTTATGTGAAAATGCGGCCAATGCAGATGTACCTAGTAGCCAATAAATATGACAGAACAAATGGCCAAGACATTTGATCGACCTACAATATATGTTGAATATATGCTATATGGTAATTTATGGACCTAATAGGTATTTGCCACTGTTCTTGTATGTAGGTTTTATTTTATTTGTTTTTTATCTTATATTTTGGAAATGTACATCCAGTTTTTTCCCCCCTTTAAATTTTTTGGGGGCCCCCAAGAGAGTGGGGCCCTAAGCTGTAGCTTGTTTAGCTTGTAAGTAAATCTGGCACTGCCCCTGGGGGTCCCTTCCAGTTCATAAGATCCTATGATTCTATGTTTCACACACATGCCTTTGGAGAGGACCCCTAATGTTATGTACTGAGTTGAATAGGATCCAAAAGGCAGCAGTCTGATTGGTCCACAGGACCCACCAATCCAGCTCCAGGCGGAAGGGAATCCGCAACCTGATTGGCCTATAGGAGAATCCCGGAATTAGCCAATCACGTGGGGCCCATTGTGTAAATAATGTATGTACAGCGGTGCCCCACAAGACAAATGTCTCGCAAGACGAAAAACTTGCTAGACGAAAGAGTTTTCCATTTTTTGAGTCGTTCCGCAAGACGAATTTCCCTATGGGCTTGCTTTGCAAGACGAAACGTCTTGCGAGTTCTTACGAGTTTGTTTCCTTTTTCTTAAAGCCGCTAAGCCGTTAATAGCCGCTAAGCCGCTAATAGCCGTGCTTCGCAAGACGAAAAAACCGCAAGACGAAGAGAGTCACGGAACGGATTAATTTCGTCTTGCGAGGCACCACTGTATGTAAGTCATTCTGGGGGAACTCCCATTCCTCCTCACCACTATGAGCTGAATAAAGAGCATGAAATCCACTCTCGACTCCGAGTATATTTCACCTAACTTGGCAGAGGGAGATGCCCTGAAACACAGGACAAAAGCGCGTCCATACAGGACGCAGCGTTTGACATGGAAAGACGGGACAGTCCAGGCGGCGACGCTGCCCCCTACCGGTGGCGGCGGCGAAGGCGGCGACGCTGTGGAAGCGGACTCGGCTGCCGCTGCGCTGGCCGTCCCAGGTGGCGAAGGCGGTGACGGGCCCGCAGGGGCAGTGGATGACGACGGCGGCGGCCTGGTCGGGTCCCGGAGGCGGCGGGCAGAGCCCGTAGTCGAGGGCGAAGCGGGCGAGGCAGAGGACGGCGTGGCCGCACATGGCGCTGCCGCCCTCGTTGTGCACGAAGAGAGCCCCGAAGGCGGCGCCCGGCAGCTCGCTGGGCACCAGCGCCGCCCCGTACATGTCGCGGTGCCCGCGGGGCTCGTGCATCAGCAGCCGCCGGGCCGCGTCCAGCTCCGGGAGCTCCAGGAGGAGGCGGCGGCGGGCCAGCAGGGGAAGGTCCCGGGGGGGCTCCAAGGGCCCCAGGCCGCCCGGAGGAACCACCCGCAGCGGCTCCCCGCCCGCCTGCATCTCCACCGTGAGGAAAACGGGGGAGCCGGGGGCGCGGGGAGGGAGAGGCCGGGAGGCCCCGGCTTGGGCCTCAGGCGACGCCATGACCGTTTAACGGTTTTTTACCTCACGCTGGTTTGTAACGGACGCCACCCGCCCAGGCCCCGCCCTCCGAGCAGGCATTGGCTGAGGGAGAGAGAGGAAGGGCGGGGAGAGCTTGTCCGTTTATGGGCCGTTGGCTAAGCCTGTCAGAGGTGCACGCCCGGGATTGGTGAGAGAAGGCGGCCGTCACCGCCCACTGAGGCACATCGAACGGGCATTGGCTGAGGGAAGTGCCCGTTTAAAGCCTATTGCGACGGGCTGGTCAGGTTCGCCTGTCCAGGATTGGTCTGAGGGGCAAAGGCGGCAAAGCTGCAGGCGGCGTAAACATAGAGAAAGATATAGAGTCACATACACCTAATTGAATTTTTTGTTGCCCTTCCGGGTTCGCTTCCATATGCTTCGCCCATTTTTCTTCTGACGCCGTGGCGTCTATTTAATTTATTTATATGAAAAAGATTATATCTTGGTTTTTTAAAAAAATATTACCACAGCTGGACTCCTTAAACTGCTTATAAATGAAGAATTTAGCAAGGATCTAGGACCTGACCGCTTACTGAGAAATCACATCAGGCGGCGTTCTCCTCATAGAAATGCTGCGGGAAAGAGCGGCGGCCCCAGTGCATCTACGGAGTGGCAACTTCCTTGAAGTTCACGCCGTGCGCCGCTCTTCATTTTTCTAGCCGAACATAATAGACCACGCCCCCTCCCCGTTCAGTCTCAGTGCCCAATGAAGAGAGGAGCTTAGTCCGAGTCACGCCCCGCTCGCCAACCAGAGGAGGTCCCGAACGCGACCGCCCCGCCTATGGGGGCGTGGCTGTGTGAAGCCGACAAACCAATCAACGAGGACTGGCGGAACCCGAGAGGAAGTGACGCAAAGCCAGCTGCTGTCGCTGTCAAGAACCCGGATGATTTTGGGGGTGAATAGGCGGAGATGGGTGAGTTTTGGGTGCTGAGTTTATTACCTTTCCCCAGGTGAGAGGGGCTGTTTCTTCCTGCTGGGCAGCTGACCAGGCTGGTTTCTTAACTGCAAAAGCAAGCAGCCTTCCAGTATCCTAAATTTTAGATAGCTAGAGAATATAAATATAATTCTTTATATAATGTTATAGGAGAGGGAAGGTGGGGAAGAGATATTTGTTGCATGTCAGCTTTCGTGGGCTAAAGCGAGGAAGCGTTGCCCTCAAGGGGGGAGAGATGCTACAACTCCCCTCAGCCCTGGTCCTGCTGGCCAGGGGGGCAGAAGCATCGGGGGAACCGAGGTTGGGACAGGCTGAGTTCTAAGTTCCTGGAGGGGAACCTGTGGCCTTTTAAATTTGGCATTCCAACTCGTCAGCTGGCATACTGAATGGCTGTGGATGATGGGAGTTGCAGTTCAGCAACAGGAATAGTAATAATTGGTGGTGGCGGTGATGATGACGATGACAACAACAACTTATGAGCCCATAAGAAGCCCATAAGGGTAGGGTATAAAGGCTGTAAAGAAACATCTTTTATGGCCCAGGCTTCTCTCCCCTTTCCTGTAGATAGGAACCCCCACGATCTCAGATTTTCTGTGTCAGATGACAGCACTTCTAAACATTCCCTTTCTCTGAGCTCTCTGATGTTAGATTAGTTTTAATGTGGAAGCTGTTGCGTGTCTGTTTACCTGGTTCTGCGTTCCGTGATTAGGGGGCAAAAGCTAACTAAAAGCTAGTAAAGCAAGATGTTTTAAGGTATTTGTGTGCAAACTGTTATTTTTATTTTTAAAATGTATTTTTTATTAAAGATTTCTTGGTTTACAAAAGTATGTGCAATGTCTCTTTTTTCAAGTGTGCAAACTGTTATTAACTTACAAATATCTACCACTCTTTTGGCCTTTTTATCTTTTGTATAAGTTGTAGATATTCAGCCAGATTGCCTTGGGCTTTATTGTGGAAGAACAGCAGAATTTATAAATGGGACTGAAATCCATGGCGATTGTGGGGTAAGTAGAGGATTGTGAAGAGACACTTGAGTATTTGAAGCTGGCACAGTATAATGTTTTTGCTGCTATTATCCAACCATTAGTGGGTTTGGCTGGGGAAAGGATGGCCTGAATACATCTTGGGCTCAACGAAACTGCTTGCACATTATTCAGTCCCTTTCATTTGTCTGCATCCCTTTCCCAAGCCATTTTGTGTGTGTGCAAAACGTTAATAAATATCTTTATAAAACAATATGTGATTAAACTCTCCAGGTGTGTCCAAGAGGGCAAAGGACAGACGCCCACAAAATCTGTCGGCCATGTATGGGATCTCCAGAACGCTATGATTGGCTTTACCTTGGCTTTATGGCAATGCTTCCTCTGATTTTGCATTGGTTCTTCATTGAATGGTATTCAGGGAAAAAGAGGTAAATGTTTCCTAAGCCCTGTTCAAACAAGAAACTGAATGTAACTTTTGAATCTAAATGTGCACTTACCTTGCCATTGAAGGTGCTGGGGAGGAACCAACTACTCTGCAAGTTGGAGGATTGTTTACCTGGCTTTGGGAAGGCAGCACAAGGGCTCTGGGATGCTAACAGCCCTCATGCCTCCTTCCCTAATTTGGGTGTCTCGCTTACCTGGCTTTGGGAGGGTGGTGAGAGGGCTCTGGGATGCTACCAGAGCCTTTGTGCTGCCTTCCCAAAGCTGGGTATAGCCATGATCAGAGTTGTGCATGGGTGAGACGGTGGGAATAAATAAATGGAGTGGGTTTCTTCTGCTCTTCTTTTATTTATTCTCTCCCACCCACTCAAAGCTGCAATTGCACAAGTCTAACAAGATACAAATTACCTGCACTGATTTTGATTCCTTCTTTTCCCTCTTTCCAGCTCCAGTGCTCTGTTCCAGCACATCACTGCTTTAATCGAATGCAGTGTGGCAGCCATCGTTACTCTGCTTGTGAGTGACCCCCTGGGCTCCTTGCATATCCGCTCCTGCAAGGTGGTGATGCTTTCTGACTGGTACACCATGCTCTACAACCCGAGTCCTGATTACATTACCACTATTCATTGTACCCACGAAGCAGTCTACCCTCTGTGAGTATCTTTTCTGTGGCCTTGTCTGTGAGATTGCAAACCATGGCTTAGAATGAACGCATCGGCCTCCTTGGTCATTTCAGCTCCATACTGCAACTAAGCCAAGGTTCAGGTTAGCATGTCATCTGAACCTGGGGTCATGCTCAGAGGAATCATGGAATTGTACAGCTGGAAGGGATCCCAATAATCATCTAGTTCAACCCGCAACTGTTCCCGAAAGAAGAAGAAGAAGAAGAAGAGAAGTTTGGATTTGATATCCCGCCTTTCACTCCCTTTAAGGAGTCTCAAAGCGGCTAACATTCTCCTTTCCCTTCCTCCCCCACAACAAACACTCTGTGAGGTGAGTGGGGCTGAGAGACTTCAAAGAAGTGTGACTGGCCCAAGGTCACCCAGCAGCTGCATGTGGAGGAGCGAACCCGGTTCCCCAGATTACAAGACTACCGCTCTTAACCACTACACCACACTGGCTCTCCAAGATCGAACCAAGGACCTTTAGAGCTTCAGTCTAAGACCTTCCCAACTGTGGTTAAGTCCCCTCCATAACCACAACCTGCAGCCAAATTTTGTTCTTGGCTTAGCTGCTGTGCCATGCTGAGCTAAAGGGACCAGGAAAAGAACAAAGCAGGTGTGATCTCCTCTCTGGGAGCAAACACATTTAAGCTGTCCCAGTAAGCCATACTTTGACATGGTGAACATGCCTATGACCAAGAGGAATGGTTAAGCCCCTCCCTCCCTGTTGCTCACATGTATCTCCAGGGCAGTGGAAGAAAATGAATGGGAATAAGACGCTACTGTGCATTTGTGCTGGAGGGAAAATAAGGATAGGAAATAAGATAAAGAGGAAATTATGCAGATTGCCATGACTTGAGGTACAAGATCGCCAGGGCCTGGATTTGTGGGCCAGGAGGGCATAAGAAAGTAGCAGACAGTGTTGATGTGAAGAAACAGCATCATAGCAAGGATTTTGCATAATGGAGGGGGGCAAGTATAGAACTTGTGGCATTTATGTGTCTTGTGTTTGTTGGCCATATCAAGAGTGAGGTGTGAAGTTTTTGGCACTACTGTGCTCTAATATAAACAATTCTCTCTTCCAGGTACACTATTGTATTTATATACTATGCCTTTTGTTTGGTGTTGATGATGATGCTTCGACCCCTTTTGGTGAAGAAGATTGCTTGTGGGCTAGGGAAGTCTGATCGATTTAAGAGCATTTACGCAGCTCTCTACTTCTTCCCAATCCTAACTGTGCTTCAAGCGGTTGGAGGCGGCTTGCTCTGTAAGTCACCTTTATTTTCCACCCCCTCACTTTCCCCTCTGCACATCCAGTGGAACAAACCAGGTAGTTGCACCTAACATGCAAACCAAGAACTGTGGTTAATGGCTTCCAAACAAGCCACATTTGGAAGCTAACTTTCAGTTTAATCTGGCATGTTTGGAAGCTGTTAACCATAGCTCATGAATATCCTGGATTATTAAAGCAGGATTTGACTGTCTGAGTGTGGCAGCTGCCTAAGGACCATTTCACCCTGTGAGCTGAGCACTGTTCATACCACTCACGTTTGGTTACTACAAGGATACAGAATTTTATTATATCTTATTTCTATCCAACCTTTCCCCCCACTCTGGCACTGGGTAGAAGACTGATAGAACTCAGTGGGACTTACTTTTGAGTAGGCATGCTCAGGATTGCACCCCATAACAACTATTTATAGCTTCTGCGTGACTGGTGCGGTAAAATTGTGTTGGTGTGTCAATGTAACGTACAACTGTTTTCTTCCAGACTATGCTTTCCCTTATATCATCATAGTGTTATCTCTCGTCACCCTGGTTGTGTATCTGTCAGCTTCCGAAGTAGATGTAAGTAAAACACTGTTTCATTTTAAAATATATACTTTTTAAAAAGTGACCTACAACTGAAGGGAGAAAATGGGAAAACAAAGGAAATGGTCAGCAATAAGTGAATGAAATTCCTTGGGCTATTCCGCCGGGGATTCCACTCTCCCACCCCCACCCCCACCCCGGGTTGGCAAAGAGGTCTATCCTGCCATTCTTTAATTGTTTTATCTTCAAAAGCCTGAGACAGCTAAAGTCTTTCTGCTTGTTTAGATTTGTGAGGGGGCTCTGATCAGCATTCTGAACAGTCAGCATATCAGGAGAGGCATAGAATCATAGAATCATAGAGTTGGAAGAGACCACAAGGGCCATCGAGTCCAACCCCCTGCCAAGCTTAAGAACTAGCTGGGGAAAAGCAGCCGTAGTTATTGTAGAAGAATCCTTCCTCGTCAGTATTCTTGCCTGGCTTTTCAAAGAAGCTGTTCCCTGCCTGATGTCGCCCGACTATTTTAATCTTTAGGCAAAGATTTCTGGGTGGGGTTGCACCAATTATTAAAACAGCAAATGCAAATAAAGAGTGAACGACAAAATAATAATCTTACACATGGTGCCAAAATGAAGAGGGTTGGTATCAGGTGGGTCTCTTGAGGAATGAGCATTCCACAAGCAGGATGCTGCTATGGAGAAGGGCTTAAGCAAAGGCATCTGTAACTGCTGCAACTGCTAAGTGGCTTCTTTTAAAGGAGAGCAGCAACTATTAGTGCGAAAGAGGATGGGTTGATATTGGGGAATGTGTGTGTGCCTGTTTCCCCTCCTTCAGAGAGAATAATGAACAGTGGACCCTCTCCTGCCTTTCCAGTTAGGGGTTTGTTTGTTTGTTTCATAAAATTTGTACACCCCTTGATGGCCAAAAGAAAACTCTGAAAGCAGTTCACGGAAAAAGATAAAATTATCAGTATGAAAAATTAATAATGATCTAAAACTTTTTAAAAGTTAAAGTAGCAGTGGATTGAAACTTGTGCCAACTTTCTAAAGATGTGGGCAGGCTTGTCTGGACAAAAATATTTTTAGGTAAAGGGACCCCTGACCATTAGGTCCAGTCGTGACTGACTCTGGGGTTGCGGTGCTCATCTCGCTTTATTGGCCGAGGGAGCCAGCATATAGCTTCCAGGTCATGTGGCCAGCATGACTAGCCGCTTCTGGAGAACCAGAGCAGCGCACAGAAACGCCGTTTACCTTCCCACTGGAGCGGTACCTATTTATCTACTTGCACTTTGATGTGCTTTCAAACTGCTAGGTTGGCAGGAGCAGGGACCGAGCAACGGGAGCTCACCCTGTCGCGGGGATTCGAACCGCCGACCTTCTGATCAGCAAGTCCTAGGCTCTGTGGTTTAACCCACAGCGCCACCCGCGTCCCAAAATTTTTAGCAGGTGCCAAAAGGAGCACAGTGAAGGGGCCTGCCTGATGGCAATGGGCAGAGAGTTCCAAAGTGTAGGTGCTACCGCACGAAAAGACCAAGTTATTACAAATGCGAAACGGGGTATTATGTGGCACCTGCAATTGTGCCATTCCCTTCCTCAGAGCTCTCCCAAAAATATGATAGAGAAACTAAGAACGGCTTAGTTCAGATAACTCTCTCCACCAAGATACAAGATAAAAGGAGAGGCTTCAAAAGGCACCTTGATTTCATTCTGCCCCTTTCTGAAATCTCTGCGTTAGCCTCAGACAATGTCTGTGTAAAAACTAACGGCAACATCTTGTCTCCTGTTTTACAAGACTTTCAAGGATCTCCTTGTCAGGAAGAAAAGGCTCATTGTTCTGTTCAGCCACTGGCTCCTGCACGCCTACGGGATCATCTCCATCTCCAAGCTGAACAACGTCTACCAAGACTTGCCCCTGCTGGCTTTGGTGCCGGCACCTGCTCTTTTTTACTTGCTTACTGCAAAGTACACGGATCCTTCGCGGATACTCTCCGATGGAGCAAACGGACGTTGAGCCAAGAATCCAGCGTTGTAGGCTGAGGTTCTCTGGAGCCCAGCCATCGTTCCCCTCTTATAGGAAGCTGTCAGTTCTCTTATCAGCCAGCTTTCAGGTAAAGTTTCTTTAGGATCAAGGCTTAGTCCCCCCACATCAGCTCGATTCTATCCTCCTAAGCAACATCTGGATGCACCTGTGCATGTAATGCCTTAGAAGTGTTCCATTAGCCAAAGGAGCCAGAGTCACCCGTTGGTGAAGGATCAAGGCCCGTCCCCTATAAATATGTTTATTATTTGCCCATTTGTGCGAACGTGAAACATTTTGTACAGCGTATCTAGAAACAGTGTAACTTTTATTTCTGAGTGCAGTATTTTATCACGTCTTTGAAGAATGATATGTAGAAGAATAAAGCTCAGTGTTCCAACTTCAGTCCACAGCTTTTGCAGTCTCTTCATTTCTAGATAAGAGGTTTGGGAGAACAATGCAGTTATTATTTTTATTAATATCTGTTTGTAACAACACTTTGAGGCAGGGTGGATAAAAATAAATGATTTTTAAAAAATCAGATTTTAAAAATTTCAATCAGATTTTTTTTATTTCAATCGGATTTTTAAAATAAAATGCTTTTGGGGGAAAATCTTTCTAAAGATAATCTTCTATTTATGTTACACTATAGTCTAAAGGCTATTCATCAGGAAATAAGGATTTGTTTAAGTTTTTCATGTGTACTAAAACTCAGTCTGTTTTCTTTATTAAAAAAATTTGTTTGACCACATCAGTGAACAAACATGGATACATATGCTATAATGTCATTGTTTTAGTTAAGTACATTGTTTAAATTGTTAAAGAAATTATTATTTTTCTCCTTCCAATAAAGTACAGCAAAGTTGTCCAAATATAAAGTTAACTTATTAAACCTCACAATAATTTCATAATTATTGGTCTACGTATTTCTAATAGTATAACCAAATCAGAAATTTTTGATATAACTGTAAAAACTACTCTGAAAATTTATTATTCCAAAAATGAAACCTTCATCTGGTTGTAAATGTTAAGATTATACCAGCAAGAATGAGTCTTTGTGTAAAAAAAAAAATTTAAATCAAGTCTTACGGACTAGTGATTTAAATCGTGATTTAAATCAATTTGATTTAAATCAAACCCACCCTGCTTTGATGATTATGAAAATCTCCCGTCAGCCAATTTTGCAGAGGAAACATTTTTTGTGGGAGAGCATGCTCTTTCAAGCACCTACCAGGTTTTGCACCTTGCTTTCCCAGAATAAATGTTCTACCTTTTGCCAGAGCAGACGTTCTCTTATAGAGCCATTTACATCACCTATTACTATTTTTAATTAAAATTCTGTGTCAAGGTAATCCAAATTTTGCAGTAGGAAAACCTGAAATCTTCAATCCCTGTATTATGTGCTCCCCCTACCTCTGACCATTTGCAGATGGGTACTGTCAGTCTTGGGCTTCCTGCTGCAGGAAAGGTAGGATAAGAAAGAAGGATATATGCGGTCGCAGGGCCTTTGTGATTACTGTTCAGATTCCTGCCCCTAGCAAAAAGAAAGAAAGGAAAAGAATGAATGAAAAATGAAAGCTCTTTTGGTGCGTTTCCTTTTCCTTTCTAAGCAAGTTTATTAGGGAGTGGGGACAGAGAGAACGGTGTCGGAGTGTTGTGGGTATCAAAGAGCTATCACTCTGCGCTAAGCAGCATAAAGAGATATGGTTGACTCCCCTACGCTGGCTTCTCCCCTGTATGTGTATGTGTGTGCTGATTCCTGGGTGTAAGAAGACTGCTTGATGATGTTGCAAGACTGCAACCGGAAGAAAGCCCTAGTGGAAATACAGCTTGACTCCTGAATGTCTCATGTAGAGTTTATGTAAAGGTAAAGGGACCCCTGACCATTAGGTCCAGTCGTGACTGACTCTGGAGTTGCAGCACTCATCTCGCTTTATTGGCCGAGGGAGCCGGCGTACAGCTTCCGGGTCATGTGGCCAGCATGACTAAGCCGCTTCTGGCGAACCAGAGCACCGCACAGAAATGCCGTTTACCTTCCCGCCGGAGTGGTACCTATTTATCTACTTGCACTTTGACGTGCTTTCGAACTGCTAGGTTGGCAGGAGCAGGGACCGAGCGACGGGAGCTCACCCCGTCGCGGGGATTCAAACCGCCAACCTTCTGATCGGAAAGTCCTAGGCTCTGTGGTTTAACCCACAGCACTACCCACGTCCGAATAGGGTTTCTGTACATCGTAACAAATGGCACTTGTCTTGAGCTACTGAAAATTGTAAGTGCTGCCAGAATATATTGTTCCAGATCTTCCCCAGCCGCCTTGTGCTTGGTATATTTCTGTTGCCAAGAATCTGCTTCGCGGAGTGTTAAGTTCTGCTGTTTCAGCCGCCCTTTGTGTAGAACTGAACCAATGCGCCACCACTGCAGAGTGAGCTCACCTCGTCACCCAGCTCCGACCTGCTTTCTAACAGAGACTCCATTGCCATATAGTTTAGCTGCAGCCCTTCGTAAACATAGTCAAGCTTGTCGTTCCTTTTCCTGTGTTTCCTTATATACTCATCCAGAATAATCATGACGTCTTTCTGGTACCTCAAGAAAAACTGCAGCGAAAGAAAGATGGCTCACCTTCAAGTTGGGCTGTTAAACTTTCTATTGCAAGAGGCTGGTGAGGGCTGCCCCAGCTTCTTTTCTTGAATACCCACATTCGAATGTGTAACTCTCGTTTCCATTGAAAATCTGTCCGTAACTTAGGTGTTACAGAGATGGCAGCAATATAATATAATATAGAATATAATTGATTATTTATACCCTGCCCATCTGGCTGAGTTTCCCCAACCACTCTGGGCAGCTTCCAATCGAGTGTTAAAAACAAAACAGAATTAAATATTAAAAACTTCCCTAAACAGGGCTGCCTTCAGATGTCTTTTAAAGATATCTGCTTATTTCCTTCACATCTGAAGGGAGGGCGTTCCACAGGGCAGGTGCCACTACCGAGAAAGCCTTCTGTCTGGTTCCCTTTAACCTCACTTCTCGCAATGAGGGAACCGCCGGAAGGTCTTCGGCGCTGGATCTCAGTGTCCGGGCTGAACGGTTTACAGTCGTACCTTGGAAATCGAATGGAATCCATCCCGGAAGTCCGTTCGACTTCCAAAGCATGGCTTCTGATTGGCTGCAGGAAGCTCTTGCGGCCAATCGGAAGCCCTGTCGGACGTTCGGCTTCCAAAAATAGTTCACAAACCGGAACAGTCACTTCCGGGTTTGCAATGGCCGGGAACTAAGCTGTTTGACTTCCAAGGTACGACTGTGTATAGTTTTGTTACAGTACGATCACATCTAATGTGGAACATTCCAAAGCTTCTGCGTATACACAAAAATCATGTATACGCAAAGCTTTGGAGCTGCTCCTAAGGCTAGCAGGTGAAGGGGAGAGAATAAGGAGAAGAGTTTGGATTTGATATCCCGCTTTATTACTACCCTAAGGAGTCTCTAACATTCTCCTTTCCCTTCCTCCCCAACAACAAACACTCTGTGAGGTGAGTGGGGCTGAGAGACTTCAGAGAAATGTGACTAGCCCAAGGTCACCCAGCAGCTGCATGTGGAAGAGCGGGGAATCGAACCCGGTTCCCCAGATCACGAGACTACCTCTCTTAACCACTACACCACACTGGCTCTCAGGAAGAGGGAGAATCACTTCTCCTCCCAGATCCCACACATCAAGTAAGCCTTGCCCAGCAAGCAAGGCTGAGAGCGTGAAAAGCTATTTTTTGCACTGGGTAACTCAAGCGGATCTGGTGCAAAAAGACCTTTTAAGCTCTCCACCTTGATGGATTTCTCACGAAATTTCAACCATCCTACCTTCAATAGTTGAAATTGCGCAAGTTAAATGCATGTAAGATGCAATTGTACTGTTTTTGAATCAATTTTTTTAAAAGTACAAGTGGGACTGCAGTTTCAAAAGCAAGATACCTGCATGAGCTATTTCATCCAGGGGCTAAGGCAGAAGTAATCAAAAGCATATTTGTTATGCAACTCAAATCCGATATGCAATATATATTTCTTTTTTCCAGCCTGACAGCCAGTCCTGTATAAGCTGCTCTCTCTTTCCAGGGGGATGACACAGGAGAAAACCCCAGGGCATCGTGTCCCAAAAGCTGCTCTTAACCCAATACTGCATCATACCTTTTGAAGCTTGGTGTCCCTTATCCACTTCTTGACATAAAGTCCTAAAATAAATTAAGACATTTTAGAGCGTTTAGGGAAATGTCTGCCAAAAAGCCAAACTTTAAAAATGCTCCATTTAAAAGTGATTTTTATACTATCTATAGAAAGAAAAAATCCAGACAGCAACTGAGACTAAATAAAATACTTTTATCAAAAGCGTTGGATACCTGGTGCTTCTAGAGTGCCAGTTAGCTTAATAAAATATCTTTCTGCTATAAAGAAAAGCATTAAGAACACAATCTAACCGCTGAAAACCTGCAGGGGCAGGTTTAAATTGCACTCCAGTGCAAGTGACCCCTTATTCCTGCAGGGGAAAGGGAAGTTACCGTACACTGGCGATGTTTCTGTGGAGAAAGCAACCTGCCCTACACCTCTGAACTTGGGTAGCTTACTAAGTGGGTAGCTTACACATTGTGGTTCTGGGAACTCTCCTCTCTCAATAATGGGAACACTGCAAATGCAAGAATAAAACAAAAAACTGGCCTGTGTATTGTACATGGGGTGTCAATCCAGGGAGCAGATTAAGATATATTTTTATCATTAGTGCATACCTTACTGTATGTCTGTGTGTGCATGACTACACACTGATTTCCCCCTTGATTGGCACCTCTGTTTCCACCTGGCCTTTTATGCTGATCTACGGCAGCCCCAAGGAATCCCCCCTTCAGCCAAGCTTCCTCAACCTCAGCCCTCCAGATGCTTTTGGCCTACAACTCCCATGATCCCTAGCTAGCAGGACCAGTGATCAGGGATGATGGGAATTGTAGTCTCAAAACATCTGGAGGGCAGAGGTTGAGGAAGCCTGGTCTTCAGCGACAATGCAGCTTAGAATCATAGAAACGTAGAGTTGGAAAGGACCTTGAGGGTCATCTAGATTCCTGCATTGTGGGGATGGGGTTGGACTAGATGACCCTTGGGGTCCCTTCCGACTCTACAATTCTGTGAACCTCTTGCGATGCAGGAATAGGAAGCTGCCCTGCAGTCAGAGCACTGGTCCGTCTGGCCCAGTGTTCTCTACACTGACAATGGTTCTCCAGGCTTTCAAGAAGGGGCAGCCTTCCCCAGTCCTCTCTGCATATGCCATGGACGGAGACCTTCTGAATCAAAAGCAGCTGCTCTGCTACCCCTGGGCTATAGCCCTTCCCCAGAATCTCATACTGCAGCACTGCATACGTGGGTCTGTGGCTACTCAGTGCAGTGTGTACATTCTGGCTGAGCACCAGCTCAGAGACACAATTCAGAGAAGACAGTTTTGATTGCTCAGCATGGCAGACCAGCCATGAGGAAAGGCAGCCATAAAGCCACAGACCTAAAAAACTTCTTGGTGAAGCCAGCCACGGCCCATATCGCTGGAGATGTGTGATGGCCAGTTTACTGAAAATTCATTCTGATCTGTCTGTACAGAGGGATGTTATGTCAAGCAATGTGGTGGTTTTTTCTTGGGGTGGGGTAAGTAGGTTTGTTGTGCAAGAGTGCCAAATCCGCTTTAATTGTGCGACCTGAGTCTGCAGGTATGTGATTGATTCCCACCTGGAAAACAGCAGCGGTCTGGAAGGAACCTTCCAATGCGGGGCTTTTGTATTGCAGCAATCAACTTCATGCCACACATCACTCACCATGAAGCTCTTTTGTAGCTTTCTGGGTTTCTTGCCTCTCTGACCGAAAGAGTTTTGCCTCACTTTCGATTTCAGAGATATCTTCTTTGAGAAAGGCAATGCCCTGCCGGGGTAAAAACGTTCCCAGAGTGTCAGCATCTGACATGTCCTTGTTAATAATATACAACAAGCCTATCACTTCTTAAGTCACATCTTGTTTTTCTTGTGGGAGATTGCAGTCAAATACAACTAGCAGGCATAGGACTAGTTAGCGCACAAAGTGGTAAAGGACCACAGAGTTGTATTGCTAGATAGGCTCAGCTAGGTCACACCCTCTAGAGGGAGGAAGCGAAGCCTTTTGCTCTTCCTTTCTCTCTGCACTGAAAAAGACATGTCTAGGCTTGCTCCCAAGCTTAAAACACATGTTTGAAACTATATTCTGTATTTTCTACACAAGAGTATTTTGCCTATGTTATCCTTGCTGCTGCATGGAACAATGCAGGATTGAGACCTTGAATCTGTAAGTAAATAATTTTAAACTTACTTAACAGCGTGTAGTCTGCTCATTGCACGAGGGGTAAAAACAGGTCAGCTGCTGCGTACAGCTGAAGGGGATTAAAAAGGTATAACAACCTATATTCCTAACGCTTTACTGTGCTGCTTATTTTTGTGAGTTTAATACTCTGCCCTGTGATTTGAGTCCTTGTAAGTACCTGAAAGTACCCTTGCACTCATTAAACCACCCAATGTTTACCCCTTCAATTCTGGTTCTATTTAGAAATTTCCTGTGACCTAAGAAGGTTCAGATGAAAACATACAAAATTTACAGTGAATATAACATCTCTCCATTCACTTCTATATGCCTCTTTCACACATATCTGCACCTTGTGTACTCTGCCCCAAGGAAACCTGAATTCCACGGGCAGGACTGAATATTTAAAATTTGCATAATTACTGAATTTCCCCAAGCTATCTCGGATAGAACCACACCAGCAAATTCTCTGTAAACTTCAAGAGATTTAAGAAGGAAGCCTGGGCTGGGGCAGCTGGTGATGTACAAACTTTTAAGAAAATGGAGGGATGGCAGAGATTTGGTTTGTGGACCACATTTCAGGGGGAAAGGCATAGCAGCTCCCCCCAAGTTCTGTGTGGAAGGGTCATAGTTTGGTGGTTTGTATGCAATCTCTGGCATCCCCAAGAAGGGCTGGGAGAGATCAGGGTCTGATATCTTGGTGTGCATATGCAGTGAATGGTCATATAGCAGCTGAACGGCAAACAAGTAAATTTTCATGGGCCAGGAAGCCCATGGTGTCAAATGCATGACAGAGGCTCCTAAGTGTGTTGGCACCTATGTATCCTGAGTACAGAGGTAGAGAAAAAGAGGGGGGAATAATATATATATATATATATATATATATATATATATATATGTATGTGTATATATATATATGTATATATACAGTGGTGCCCCGCAAAACGAATGCCTTGCAAGACGGAAAACCCGCTAGACGAAAGGGTTTTCCGTTTTTGAGTTGCTTCGCAGGACGAATTTCCCTATGGGCTTGCTTCACAAGACGAAAATGTCTTGCGAGTCTTGAGATTTTTTTTCGCTCCCCCATTTTCTAAGCCGCTAAGCCGCTAATAGCCTTTTAGCAGCTAAGCCGCTAAGCCGCTAAGCCTTTAATAGCCGCTAAACCGCTAATAGCGCTAATCCGCTAAGCTGCTAATAGGGTTGCTTCGCAAGACGAAAAAACCGCTAGACGAAGACACTCGCGGAACGGATTAATTTCGTCTTGCGAGGCACGTAATATATATATTACGAAGTGAGGCCAAAGGCAAGAGAGAGCAGCAAATGGGGTCAATCACTGTACTGGGAATCCACAACCCAGTCAAATGTGCAAGCACAGTGAGCATGACACTCTCCCTGCAGCCAGCAGCTGCCAAACAGGCAGAGCAAGATCACCAGGGTAAAATAACGCCTAAGAATGGTTTCCTGCAGTGGGGCAGCCATTTCTAGGGTTTGCAGAGACCAAACTGCACAATGCCAACTTTTCCCAGTTTGGCAGCTTCCTGTTTTGGTGCACCCAGAATACATGCATTCCTCGCTACAACAAAAATATCCCAAAAGCAATAATGAAGTACAATAAACAACTTTTTCAAAGCTCTTCCTGGTCCTTGTATTGGTTTGTGTGTCACGCTACTGCGATATGTTAACTTCCACTTCCTGAGGGTGTGGGCTGTGGTGCTTTATGTGCCAGAGTCAGACTCGGAATACTCACTGCTCTTAATCTGTCATTTTCTCCGTTCAAAATGTACAGCCTCCTATTAATCTCATAGATGTCTCTCTCAAGGTACTTCAGAGAATGTGTGAAGCTTTGCAGCTGATGCAATGCTTTCTCCCTGTTGGTCTTTATTACGTTCTTTGCATAAGACTGTGAGGAAAGAATAATTAGTTAATTAGTTAGTTAGTTAGCACTGACAGTCTAATAGACACTATATAAAAGGGATGGGGAGGAGGCAGGAAAACAAAGTAGGGCACTAATTCTTCCTATGTTCAGGGCTGCTGCTCGTGCTACTCTAGCTGTGACATCCATTGTTTCCATGTGCAAATGTATCACCATGGGGCAGTCACCCCTGATACAGCTTCCATTCTGCCCAGTGTCAACTCAAAAAGCACCACCCCAGTGCTTGTGCCAACCAAGGCAGAAGGGAAAAACACCCTTTTGCTGCAACAGCTCCCATGCTGGCACCGAGAAGAGGCCTGGATTCTGCCCGCTGTTGTCACATGGTGGCAGCAGGGTCTACATAGGATCCATCAGATCCTACACCAGTCCAGCCCCTTCCTGAAACTCCCGCTGGTGGTAGCTTCTCTGCCTGCACACCTTTTGGTCAGGTGCTCTTTGCTAGCAGGACTTCCCCACCAATGGAGGTCACCTGAGGGAGGGGCACCTGCACCTCATCAAACGGGTGGGAGTTTGGATTGCTCTGTTATTTATCCAGCAACGCCTTGGGCCTCTCTAATTGGCTCCTGGGATTCTCCCCAGCCACACCCCTCACTGGCCCTCTTTCACATCTTGGGGTGTTTGTGCCCAGCTGGAATGTGCCCTTAAACTCTGATAACCCTTTTCGCCGGCCTGGACAGAAGGCAGAAAGGGATGTGTAAGGGGTTATAGGAACAAGCCTACTATACAAAGGTAAAATACTACAAACTGCATAAATATTTTGTATGTTTTAAATTAGGGTTGTAATCTTTTTACTGGCTTTACAGTTTTATCATTTGTAAATCGCCTTTACTGTAGGTTGTTTCCCCCCTACAATCTAGCAATGTATAAATTTCATGTCAAATTTGTTATTCTGCCCATCACTGATACGCACACACACAACCCCTGCCTAGAAGTTGGAATGCAGTCTTTTTTTAATAATATTTTTTATTAGTTTTCAATTACAATAAACCAATAATAGCCTCATTACAATTCCTAATACAAATGATTCAAATACCAAATTATACAATTTAGGTTCCCCCCCACCCCCACCCGTGTGCTAGAATTGATGGTTTGATAATTTACTTTCTTTCTGGATTTCTATCTTTGGGCCACAAAAGGTTTTCCTCATCTTAGCTAACGGCCACATTCTGCAGTGGAGCCAGCCATCCCATAACCCAGGCCTGAGGAAGAGGCCGTTACTGTGTGGCCTCCTTGTGTGACCTATTTGAATAAGCTGCATGCTGGGCAGTGCCACTTCTCCATGAAACTGGTCCTTCTCACCTTAAAGTTCCCAAGTGACCAGCTTAATTAACTCCATCAGCAAAATAACGTGGAGATGATGGTCAGCATGTGATGTGGTCGTGTAGTATACTAGCTGTGCTTAAACATTAGGATTAGGTCTGCAGCTGGTCTGCAGCTTCAAGTTGTGTGAATATTTACCTCTGGGCTGCTTGGATAAGGGACCAAACATCACAGAAGCTGAGCTGCCAGAAATCTGATGCCCCCCAAAGCACAGATCACACCAGAGTGATTACCTTTAGCCTGGTGAGTTTGGCGGTCTCCTTTGTCGACTTGTCTATGCACTTAGTTAGTGTGAGCATCTCTTCCTGGAGTTCTAGAAACAAAACAGGAGGAGGAAAGACTCCATTTTACTTAAGCTAATATAAGCCACAACAGCAGCCAAATAACCCAGTAAGGTAAAGGGACCCCTGACCATTAGGTCCAGTCGTGGACGACTCTGGGGTTGCGGCGCTCATCTCGCTTTATTGGCCGAGGGAGCCGGCGTACAGCTGCCGGGTCATGTGGCCAGCATGACTAAGCCGCTTCTGGCAAACCAGAGCAGCGCATGGAAACGCCGTTTACCTTCCCGCCGGAGCGGTACCTATTTATCTACTTGCACTTTGACGTGCTTTTGAACTGCTAGGTTGGCAGGAGCAGGGACCGAGCAACGGGAGCTCATCCTATTGTAGGGATTCGAACCGCCAACCTTCTGATCGGCAAGTCCTAGGCTCTGTGGTTTAAACCACAGCGCCACCCGCGTCCCAAATAACCCAGTAGGATCTCCTGAATAAGAGACCAGAGAGGTGCAGAAGCTTTTCATTACACACAAGTTCAGACCTGCCTGCTCTATCTTAATTCCCATATCTGAGAATGGCTCTAGTCCCTAACATTTTCTGCAACTGCCTATGGCAGGCATAGACAAACTCAGCCCTCCTGATGTTTGGGGACTACAACTCCCATCACCCCTGACCACTGGTCCTGTTAGCTAGGGATGATGGGAGTTGTACTCCCAAAACATCTGGAGGGCCGAGTTTGCCTATGCCTGGCCCATGGATTTTCCTCTTCTGAGGCAGCAGGGCCCATATGCAGTCAGGAAGGTAGGGGGTCCAGCCAGCTGTCAGTGCAGGAACCAGGAACAAGGAGGACAGTCCATTATATTGGGAGGCAAGGAGGCAAACAATACAGATCCAGGGTTCAAGAGAAGAGGATCAAATGGAAGGCCTGCAGGACCATGGACAGGTAACTGAGTGCTAGAAACGTGCTCCACCCACATGGTTTAAGTTCCTCAAAGGTAGTGGCCTCTTGGCTCTGTGTCTAGCACTCTGACCCTTTCCCCTGACTTGCTGCATTCTCTGCGCCAGGAGTGTTCCAGGCCCTGAACTTCGTAAAGTTAATTCAAAGTTTTGAAAGTTAACTGTTTTTACCCAAATCCATCTCAAATCTAGCCAAGGGAGTGGAGAGCTCACTGACCTCTAACTGTGCCTCAGAAGAAAAGATTTAAAACCTGGCCTACTGAACAGTCTTTTGATGGCTAACTTGCTGGTGGATTTCTTTTAATAGATTTGTTCTTAATGGCTGTGTTTTTAAGGTTGTAGGCTGCATTTATAGTTGCTTCTATTGCGTTTTGATGTTACGAGCTGCTTTGATTACCCAGTGGGGTTAAAAAGCAGTAGTTGTGTCTTGTACATAAAATATAAACCCCCGAACATCACCCCACAGGAAGCTGCCTTGAATTGGGGGGTAAACGTATTAGTCCACCTGGTCCAATGCTGTCTGCTAAGATTGGCAGCAGCATTCCAGGTTAGCTAGAGAGGGCAGGGATGGCGCCAGGCACTTCAGCTAAGAAAGCATGGGCTCCATCCCTGACCTATGTCCCCCGACTCCTAGCTGCAGAATACAATATAATAAGAAGGTTTGGGGAAAGAGGAAGCCTGCGCTCCCTTGTGCTCATTATTGCTCTGTGATGTCATGGGAGGTACAAAGTTTAGAAAGAGGCAGGAGAAAAAGCTGCTGTCCTATGGAAACTACTCAAGGCATACCGTCATATAAGTCCTTCCGGATGGTATATTCAGCATTTAGTTCCTCCAATTCCACTCTCAACTGCTCCGAAAGTGGGATATTAACTTTCAGTTGTTCTTCCTTTTCCGCTGTAAGTTTTGTTACGGTATGATATTCGTTCTTTAGAGAAAATGAATAGCCATACACAAGGAATGAACGAAGAGGCAATGGGCTTCCTAAATGGTCTGATGCATTAAACAGCTGGCCTGTCCAAAGTGTTTGGGATTCTCAAAACAGTACAGCTAAGTCGATGGGTCTCAAACCCTCGATGAGTTAGGGACTTTCCCTGCACGTGAAGACAGACTGTGGCGGATGGAGCGGATGAGACCAATAGTGGGTTCAACAGTTAAGAAGGCAGTTTCTGCACATGCTGTAGAGGGAAGTAAGGGGCAAATGGAGCTCCTCAGGGGGGAAGGGAGCCCATCTAGGAGAAGGAAAGCTCTTATCCTAAACCTTCGTGGCCTTGCAAGATATCCTTGGGAGAAGAAAAGGATAAGGAGTAAACCCGACACAAATCCAGAGTTTGGTCCCTAAAGTGGTTGGATAGTGCCTTTTACGCCTTCTTCTGGCAACTCCTGCAGCCAAGGTGGTGCCAAATATACTGCTTTGCTTTCCTTTGAACCTCATCAGTAAAGCCAAGAGGTAGGGTTTGTAGTCTGGGAAGCCCAGGACCTCCAGACACACTGTCCAGGCCCGTGCCGGGAGGTCACTTTGGTGCTGCAAACACAGCCGTCTGACTTCACCCCTGGAGGCACACTCCATTGTCTCTTGAGACAGACAGATGCTAACAAGGCAAGCAATAGTGACATATTCAGATGGGTTGCTGGGCCAAACTTTCCAACTGCTAGATGACCAGAGGTCATGGCTATATTTTTTTGCATCAGCTTTGATGAAGGAGAGGGCTGGCAAGGAAGCCACTCTATCTATCTATCTATCTATCTATCTATCTATCTATCTATCTATCTATCCCATTGTGACCCAACCTCAGCAGGACATCTGCCCACACAGCCCCTCCCTTCCCTGCATCTCCAGCTGAGCCTCCTTTCCACAAACCACTGCTTGCCCTCCATGCCCAGTCAGGCGTCTCCCATCATCTTGATGCTCAGGCATCTTTGCTACAGACCAGAGGTCAATATTCCTTCCCAGCTGCAAGTTTAGCACACTTCTTCTGACCCCCTCACACATGCAGCAGTAATTTATATAGAATGGGTGGTGTTGAGGCATGCCATAGCAGAAGGGCCCTTAACCCTACCAAAGCCAGGTGTGGTGGAGACTCTATGGGCTACACTTGGAACCTCTAAAGTTGGGAGAATCTCTGCCCTGCAGGCCTAATTGGGCCCACTAAACCTCTGAATTTGGCTCGGAAAACACACCCATGATGTCAGTTATCTGACATCATACTATGTCGGGCACAGAGATCTGTCCTCTCTGATCTCAGCACAGAAAGGGAACATGTTACCCACTAGATGCCGTCATCCCAGCCCATGAATATGCTGGTTGGGGATAACGGGAGTTGGAGACTTACATACAATACATTTATGCCACATAACAAAAAGATGGCTCTCTTGCCTCAAGTTTAGTGATTTCCGCTTCCACTTTGGCATCACGTTTTTTGTAGTAACCTTGCCTTTTAAGCAGTTTGCTGGCAAGTTGCTTGGCCATGTCTTGGGTCTTCAATAGTTCTACCGTGAGTTCTTCATTCTAGTCACAGGGAATAAAAGCAAGGGCGGGGATCATTTCTGCTATTCTTGGCCCTCAAGAGACTGGGAGGCACAATTTGACCAGACTGAAAAGGAACTCTGGGCTTCTGTATATTCTTGCATTTTCTGTTGGAAGCTGCCCATATGTAAGAAGTATGTGTTGGGGGGGGGGGAGAGGAGAGTCCCATTTAAAGAGGAAAAAGACCCATGGGAGGGGAGCACCTAACTCACAGATCTGGCGCCATCACATCTAGTCTGGCTCTAAGCATGATGCAGTTTTGACTGGCAATTTCAATCAATTTCCATGGAAGAATTGATGAGAAAGCAGGTTCTGCTCCACAGCTGGGCTGAGAGAGGACTTTGGCGCCTCCCATCCCTAAGCATGCTTGTTTTCTCGAACCAATGGCTTCAAGTTACAAGAAAGGAGATTCCGACTAAACATTCGGAAAAACCTTGACAGTAAGAGCTGTTCAGCAGCAGAGCAGACTCCCACAAGAGGTGGTGGACTCTCCTCCCTTGGCGGTTTTTAAACAGAGGTTGGATGGCCATCTGTAATGGATGCTTTAGCTGAGATTCATGCATTGCAATAGTCTATGAACTGTTTCCATTCAAGGTGCCCATTGTAAGGACAATGTAACTTAAGGACTGGTCCTTGAGTTTATTTCCCTCTTCCTGCCCTATCCCTTTTTCCTTTAGTGCCGTGCCTTTAAGATTGTAAATATTTGAGCATGGGTGGTCCTGTCTTTAACCTGTGCACAGTCTAGGAAGCTGTTGAATACTGAGTCAAACCATTGGGTCTGTCTAGCTCAGTACAGTTTGCACTGATTGGTGGTGGCTCTCCAGGGTGACTTTCGCACCATATGCCATATGTACATACGTAGAAAGCACGAACTTTCTACACTTAGGATGTTTTGCAGCTAAGCTGAACCCACTGACAATGTCGCTAAACTAGACTATTTGAAATGGCTTGAAATAAAGACTCCTGGGAAATACAGCACAGATATACTGCATGTTTCTGTGAGGAATCAATGCACCCCAAATAATAATAATAATAATAATAATAGAAGAAATAATAATTTATTATTTGTACCCTGCCCATCTGGCTGGGTTTCCCCAGCCACTCTGGGCAGCTTCCAACAAAGACCAAAAATACACTAAAATAAAATGCTGAGTGGCAGTGATAATTACCATTCCTGTGAAATAGTGGGGATGGAGAATGTGTGTATTTAAATGTTAACCAGGGAGAGCACAAGTCTAGGTTATGAAACCCTGCTATATTCCAGGTTTCACTTCACCTGTAGAAAATGCACGTAGCCCTGTGATTTCATTTCAGGCGCTTAGTGGGTATCTGACAGGAGCGGGTCAGCAATAAATCACACCAGGTAAGTGGAGTTAACTCTTTACCAGAAGGAACAAAGTATGCTCAGGAGTGCCAGGCCTTATGAACACAGCAACTCTTTTTGGTAGATCTTGCCTCTATGAGGCAGTTGTGGAGACTAAATGTCCCCACCTTCCCACAGCTGCTTAAGGCTTCTCCTCCCCTGGGTCCTTCCCAAGCAATCTGAGACTCCACTGGCAAGTCTGTCTTTGCTCCTCCTGCTTCATGCCTCTCCTGGTCCTGGGAAACTTGCATCAGCCTGACTCATCTCTGCCTCTTGGCCTCCCTCCTCCCCTGCTTCAGCTTCTGATCCTGGGCTTCTCTCTGCCACAGACTCTTCCTGTTCACCAAGCCCTGTCACCCCTTCAGCTTCAGACACCTCCTCCTCCCAGTCTTCCCTTTCCGACCACTCACTGTAGTTCCAACCCCAATCCCTGGGCTCTGAGCCTTTGACCTTTGGGGGCTCCCCAGCTGGTGCCACCCACCATTCCGTTGCATCAAGCCAGTCCAAGCCAGTATCATACCTGCTTTATTAAGGTATTAAGGTGCATTTTACCAGCGTCTGACTTTTCCTTTGAAGTGATCAGTAACTCTTCCTGATCATTCATAACTTTCTCATACATGGTTGTGATTTCAGCAAGTTGGTTCTGAAGCGTTTCTCTGGCAGGAAGAGAGCCACACGTATTAGCCACCACAGTGTTAAACAGAACAGTCAATTAGGACAGTGATGTTGGGTTCAGTCACCTTTCTTGTACAAAGGATCTCCTGATGCTGATAAAGTTTATGGTAACGGTAACAACAACACAGCAGTTGCAAATGTTCAAAGTGCTTCTTCGTACACGGTAACTCGGAGATCAAGAGTTATTTCTTAAAATAAAGCAGCTGAAGAGACAGTTTTGAAAGGTATCTCCAATGTTTCATCATTTTAAAAAACAACAACCGCCACAGTCCCAGAAAAGAACAGGATATTTGGAACAGAGAAAGCTTTCCAGAAAAAGAGAGCACTAATTTAGTCTAATGAATTTACTTGTGCTTAAACATATATACTGCCCTTCCTCCCAAAGGAGCCCAAGGAGGCAAACAACAAGCAATAGTATGCAGGCTGAGAAAGATCTCTATACAGGGGATGCCAAACTTGTTGGACGAGTGGGGACATTCTGAATTTGGGGGGTGTGCTGGGGGCGCCAGTCACAAAATGGCTCCTATGGGAGAGCGTGTGACAGAAAGTTCTTCCTGATGTCAGAATCTCCTTTCTTGAATCCACCGGCTCGAGTGCTGCCCTCTGGAACAGAAGAAAACAAACTTGCTCCATCTTCCATGGGGCAGTCCTTCAGTTATTTGAATATGGCTATCCTATCTCTTTTCAGTCTCCTCTTTTCCAGGCTAAAACATCCCCAACTCCCTCAACCATTCATCATAAATCTTGGTTTCCAAGACCACTGATCACCTTGATTGCCCGCCTCTGCACACCTTCCAGCTTGTCAATATTACTCTTAAATCGTGGTGCTCAGAACAGTTTTCCAGGTGTGGTCTGACCAAGGCAGAGGTTCCCAATCTATACTCTAAGTGTTCTTGCAATTATTAAGCCTTCTGTATAGCCACTGCCTTAAATCAATTGTACTTTTCCATTTCTGACCAGGATTTCCATTTGGCTAATGGAGGATTCTGTGATCCTCAATGGTTCAAATTCTGCAAGTTGCACAGGGGATTTTGCACCTTGGCAAGGGTGTGCTTGTAGGTTTGGTGGGGCTAAGGCTGATTGGGAGAAAAAGAAAACAAAGCCTGACCCAAAAGGCACAGAAAATCTAGCACCTGTACCTGTGTTTACATTACACAGTTCTATGAATTGGGAAAGGGTAGTTTGATATCCAGACCTAAATACAGTGGTACCTCCGGTTACAAACTTAATTCATTCCGGAGGTCCATTCTTAACCTGATGTGCGCTTTCGCTAATGGGGCCTCCCGCAGCCACCGCGCTGCTGCCACACGAATTCCACTCGCATCCCGGGGTAAAGTTCGCTACCAGGAGCAACTACGTCCAGGTTAGCGGAGCTCATTACCCGAAGCGTTCGTAAGGAGGACGAGACGTAACCAGAGGTTCCACCCTAACAACATTTATTTGGCAGCATCAAGGGAATTGCACATGTATGTTTATGAATCTGACACAAACGTCCTGAAAGTCTTTAGTGCAATATTTTACTTTCAGATAATATTTTACCTTCTCTCAGCTTCTTTGTTTAATGTTACCTCTAAACTTCCTAGCTCTCTGCTATAGCCGGTCTGTGAGGACCTGAAACGAGAAGTGTGACACTGAATAATCAATTTTTCTATGATTTCCTCCCAAAGCGGAGTAGCATTCTCCAGCTACTACCACCAAGCAGTGATAGTGGCCCTAGGCAGTCAAAATCTCAGGGGTCCCCTCATGTGCGCAATCTAGTGGGATAACATAGAACTAAGGAGGCTCGGTTGTAATTTTCTTCCAAGACTAAAACAATATTATTTTGATCCGTTGTCACAGGGCCCTTAAGAGGTGCCTACTCTGCAGTAATCTGGGATGTAGATCAGGCCAAACATCCATTTAGTCCAGCATCCCATTCTCACGGTGGCCAACCACAGAGGCCTAGTGTGGGCGGGGCTGAGGGCATTACCCTGGGCACATTTTTTAGGGGCCGCCTGGTTGCGCCCCCATGACAGGTTCCTCCTCTAGTCCAGAGCCACAGAGAGAGAAGCCATGCCCAGGCCGGGCCTTTGGAGCTGTGTCTCCTTCTCAAGACCAGTGAAGGGATGTCCTAGCGTGCCCCACCCCCGGGCGCCTCTCCTCCGCTGGGCTCTGGTGCCAAGGAGGTTCCTCGCGCAACAACCCAGTGCCACCCTGCTGGAGCTCCACTCCCGGGTCAGACCTGAACCAGGGGCAGGCGAGAATGAGAGGCAGTGGCAGAATCTCTGTCTCTCTCCTCTGCTGGGCTCTGGCTTGCGAGTAAGTTCCTTGCTCGGCAGCCCAGCACCACTAGGTTGCCCAGTCCACCGGGGGTGCCACACTTACCCCGTCCCGGGCACCAACACCTGACGCTACACCACTGGCCAACCAGATGCCTCTGGGAAACCCGCAAGGAAGACCTGAATGAGACGGCGCTCCCAGCGCTTGCAATTCCAAGCAACCATTATTCAGAGGCGTGATGCCTTCCGCACTAGATGTGGAGCATTTATATCAGGGTCAGCAGCCACTGATGGTCTATGAACAGGTAAGCACTCAGAATGGAACTTACTCATAGAGGTTCTGCAGGCGATCCGTCTCCTCCTCCAGGTCTCTCAACTCCACTAAGCGCTTTGCCACGAGGTCAAGCTTTTCGGTGAGCTTGTTGGACAACTTCTCAAATCTATCAAGGGAAGGGCAAGGGAGGAGCCAGTTACACATCTGGTCATGTGCAATTTATTTTAGATATTTATTTCTCTTCATTAAAAGATTACTTTAAAAAAATATTGGGGGGGGCAGTTTTACAACATATGAAAATATGATACAGGACAATCAAGATAGTTAAGAGCGGGTCAATTCCTAGAATTCCCAAACCATGATAATAGCATCATAGAATTGTAGAGTTGGAAGGGACTGCAAGGGTCTTGCAGTGCAACCATCTGCAATGCAGGCAACCTTTGCCCAAAATGGGGCTCATACTCTACCAACTGAGCTACCCTAGCTCATAATAATAACCATAATAAGATATACTCAGGAGACGGATTCAAGACTAGTTCGTTTACATAAGGATGATGAGAACAAAGGAAGGCCTGAACCGCCCTGAGACCTCTGGGTATAGGGCAGTAAATAAATTCTAATAATTAATGCTTTTCCCCCAAACACCACTTTTAACCTATGGTGAAATTACAGCACCAGACATGTCACAGGATCCCAATTACATTGGTGTCCAATTACTTCAAAGGGCATTTCTGCCTAATTCACATGGGATGTTCTGAAATGCACTTCCCCTTATGGGACTACAGAGAAGAGGCCAGAAGCAGCCACAAATTCCAGACATGGGTGAGGAACTTTCTTCCAGCTCAAGGGATACACTGACTCACAGGCAACGGTCTTGGGTCTGCATGCTGGTGGCAAACAGGGCTGGAGGCAGAAGTGAATGGAGTAACAATATGACTTTTAAATAGTAGGCCACATTCAAGGCATGCAAAGGTCACAGGTTTTTCTAACACATGCCTCTTTCCGCCCAGGCAAGCAGGAGGCAGGATCTCAGTTCAGGGACATATTGCAGCCAGGCAAAATCACACAACCGGCCTGGGGCAGGAGAACCGACTGGGGAGAGTTATGGAAGCTGCACTGAAAGGCCTGAGGGTCCCAAGTGTGAGGCGCCACACCCCTAATTAAGTAGGATCAACCCATTACATATGGTGGTAATGCAATTACTAGATTGGTGGCTGGGAGTGGCGGCTGAGACCATATCACACCAAACCTAAAGGATCTACATTGACTCTCAGTACATTTCCAAACACAGTTCAGAGTGTTGGTGCTGACCTTTAAAGCCCTAAACGGCCTCGTCCCTATATAGCTGAAGGAGCATCTCCACCCACATCATCCAGCCTGGACACTAAAGTCCAGCTTCAAGGGTTTTCTGGTGGCTCCCTCACTGCGAGAAGTTACAGGGAACCAGGCAGAGGGCCTTCTTGGCAGTGGCACCCGCTCTGTGGAACGCCCTCCCGTCAGATGTCAAGGAAATAAACAACTATCAGATTTTTAGAAGACATCTGAAGGAAGCCCTGTATAGGGATGTTTCTAATCTTTGGTGCTTTCTTGTGTTTTTAATATTCTGTTGGGAGCCGCCCAGAGTGACCGAGGCAACCCAATCAGGTGAGCAGAATTTAAATACTAAAATTTAGTAGTAGTAGTAGTACCTCAGTTCCTGCTTCAGGGGTTTATTGTTGTGGTGGCACGACGGCTCTGTTTTCTGTGACAACCCCATTAGCCAGCCTGGGCTAGCAACCATCAGCACTGAGGAATAGGTAGTTTGAAACTGGCCAGCATTCTGCTTCAGAGAACACATCTCCTGCAAACCCATTCATTTACAAGCAGCCCACCCTGAAAGCTTTATTTGATTTCAGTGGCTTGTATTCAACTATCCCCACTGAAATTAATGGTGACGACTAGCTTCAGGGGGCGAGGTGCTTTACAGAGTACAAGAGAGTACGCCCCTGCTCCAAAATTTGACATGGGGAGAAATGGAGGCAGGGGTAAATACAGAAGCAATATACAGTTGTTTCAATTTCACATGCTTAGGCTTAGTTACATACTCATTAACAGTAGGGCATGGGAACTAGGAGGACATCTCTGCCCAAATCACACAAGACATCCCTATAGCGACTTACAAACTGTATTAAAGGACCACTTTTGAACTTTTAACAATCTCTGCCCTTGCATTTGATTTACACGTTCTTAAGTGAAGTGTAATTCAATGCACTATGGAGAGTTTTCTTCTCCACAGAAGAAATCTCATTCAAAGAGCTGGGTTCCTTATCATGGAGCACTACAATAGAACCTTGTACTTCTAGTAGCATTCAACAAGTCACTAAAAGTCACTGTACTCTTCTGCAAGCTGGTCTCTTAGAGCACAGGCCTGATCTTCCTCTTCAGATAAAATATTAAACTGTGTGCTGAGAGCATTGTTTTCGTTTTTTAGCTTTCTATAGGCTCGCATAATCGTTTCCAGCTTCTCTTCAGCCTAGAAACAAATTGCAGTGCAGGTTAATTTTACTGAACAAAATCGTTGTCAAAAAGTTATACTTTCAGAGGACCACAGAACATAAAAATAGACCGAAACCTCATCAAGTCTAGTTCTCAATGTGGCCAATCTATGATTTAATTGAATGAAATAATGGGACTGACAGCTATGCCTGGGAGTTAGGAGAAATCCCTTGGCAAACGGGGACCTGCGTGGCAATTCTCTAGCTCGAGTCAGTAGCCGGGGTTTTGTCTACCTGTGAAAGAAGCCGCTATTACGCCACCGCAGTTGCTTCGAGGGTGGAACAAAATCTGGACTTAATCTCGCCCCAGCCCTGCAAATCAATCAGCACAGCTAGAGCTCTTTTAAAAAGGGAACTGTGCACATGAAGAGTGCACACTGTTGGACTGGGGCCAATAGTCCCCGCTTTATAATATTTCTCGAGTCAGGAGAACAGCTTATCAAAGGATACATATCCTTGTCTTCATACCTCCTTTATCTGTTGTCGCAGCGCTTCTGCTTCCTGATCGAAGTCTGTACCCATTTTAGCTGCCTCATGTGTAAGATCAGACCTGAAGAATAACGTAGAATAATTAAGACAAGCTATTTCTGCGCAAAGGAAGGAACTGCCATCCATTGGATGTTGCATGCTGCCATTTTAAGAGCACTGCAGTATCAGAATTATTAGCAATACGTAAAAATGAGAGTCAGGTATTGGCCTTGCAGCTGGAAGACTAACAGAGCAATCATGCTCGCTGGATCATCACCTTGTCGTGGTGAGTGGGCTTGTGAGCGAAGCCGACTACTGGGAAACACTGGCCTGCGGGCGCTTCAATTGGAGAACACCCTTGACCAAAGGCGTCATGGGCTTTGAAGACACTCGAACTCAAGAAGGGAGAAACATGCTAAGAGGAAGGCACATTTGGCAAACCCTCACCGTGATCAACTTCTGCCAGGAAACCTATGTCCCCACTGTGGAAGGATATGTGGATCCAGAATTGGCCTCCACAGTCACTTATGGACTCACTGTTAAGACTGTGTTCATGGAAGGCAATCTTACTTGGCTACAAGTGATCTCCAAAGAAGAAGAACAGAGCAATCCTATACAGTGGTGCCTCGCAAGACGAAATTACTCCGTTCCGCGAGTCTCTTCGTCTTGCGGTTTTTTCGTCTTGCGAAGCACGGCTATTAACGGCTTAGCGGCTATTAACGGCTTAGCGGCTTTAAGAAAAAGGAAACAAACTCGCAAGAACTCGCAAGACGTTTCGTCTTGCGAAGCAAGCCCATAGGGAAATTTGTCTTGCGGAACGACTCAAAAAACGGAAAACTCTTTCGTCTTGTGCGTTTTTCGTCTTGCTAGGCATTCGTCTTGCGAGGTACCACTGTATCTGCTTACTCACTAGAAATAAGTCCTCTTGTTTTTAATGGAGCTTATGCCCAGGGCTGCAGCCTAACCTTCCCTATGCAGCATGGTCCTTTGTCTCCCCACTCTGCACCCCACTTTAATGTGAATGGTTATTATTGTTGTTGTTATTGAACCCCACCCACTTGCACAAAAGAGGTGCTGGAGCTCATCAGCCGAACGCAGGCTCAGCTTGAAGGTTCAGCCTCTGGGATTTCCCATTAAAAAGGAGAAGGGAACACGTCATGAGAAAGGCCTTTCTCCATCTGAAACAGCTGTCACTAGTCAATGCAGAAAGCACTGACCAGGATGCATGTATAGTCTGATCTGGTATAATAAAGCAGCTTCTGTTGTGCCTTGAAACCTATGGATTGGGAAAATAATATATGCAGCATATCTTGTTTCATACCAGAGCAATTGTTTGGCCTTTTAAAATAAATAGATAAATTTCACATTTAAAAAAATTATATAAAAAAGTAAGAAATGTAAAAAATTTGCTTACTTTTTTTTGATGAGATCCTCCTTCTCTGCCTTTTTTGCTTCATATGTTTTAATTAGTTGTCTGATGTTCTTGAAGAGTTCTGATAGCTCATCCCTCTGAGAACTGTGGAGCTACCAAATGCAAAAGTAAAATTCAGAACTGCTAACACTCCTATTAAAGCATTGTGTCCTTGCTTTAAGAGAGATGTGCTTCTCTTCAGGCATGAACAGCCTGATTATTTAGATTTGTATTTGGAATTATGGTTGCAATCCAAACAAGCTCAGGGTGGTTTTAGCATTAAAAGCAGATTTGGCACACTGGTCCTAGAATCATATAGAATCATATTAAGTGTAGAGATTGAAGGGACCCTGAGGTCCAACCCTCTGCAATGCAGGAATCTCAACTAAAGCATCCATGACAGATGGCCACCCAACCTCTGCTTTAAAACCTCCAAGGAAGGAGCGTGTACCATGTACCACTTTCAGAGGGAAACTGTTCTACTGTCAAACAGCTCTTAGCATCATAAAGTTCTTCCTGATCAGGCAAATATTGTAAATTGACTGGCCAACCTTTTCGTTGCTGGCATCTCTCTGTCTCAAGAGACAATGAAGTTTGCCTCTAGGGGTGAAGTCAAATCACTGCATTAGCAGCACTGAAGTGACCTTTGCAGGGGGCAAACCTGGGCAGTATGTATGGAGGTCCTGAGACACCCCCCCCCTTCTCAGCCTCGCTGATGTGGTCCAAAGGAAAGCAGAGCACTACGTCTGGCACCAGCTTGGCTACAAGAGTTGCCAGAAGGAAGAGTACAAAGTGCCACCCAACCATCGTAGAGACTCCACTCTGGATCACAGTTTTCCTTCTCCTAAATGGGCTCCCTTCCCAGGTTGACAAGCCCCACCTGCCCCTCACTTCCCTCTACAGCACATCTGGAAACCGCCTTCTTGACCGTTGGACCCACTATTGGTCTCGTCCGCTCAATCTGCAGGAGCCTGTCTTCACATGCAGGGAAGTCCCTAATTCAATGAAGGTTTGAGACCCATTGACTACCCTCACCTGGTTTAGCTGGCCAGTCAAAGCCATTTCCTGAGGTGTGGTCACTGTTGCATGCTAACAGCTTCTAGGAGCCATAGGTGAGAGCTAAGTGCAGGGTGTGGACCAAAGGTGGGCAAACTACTCCTCCCCTAACATCCACCTTCTCACAGCTCGATTCCACAACTTTTGAGTACATTGTGTTCAAGCACAGATTGGGAGGCCACCTGAGATCCTGGCCACTGCACAAAGCCTTTAAAGCTCAGAGCTCTCCCTGCCCATCCCTTTGCAGCACTGTGATCCACCATCTGTAGTCCTGCTTGCCGCAGCAAGTGAAGCAGATTCTGAACAACAGAGAGGGATCGAGCAGGAAAACCTGTGGCTGCTCTGCCTATCACCTTAAGACAAGATTTGAAGGGCTATGTCCAAAACATTGGCGATCCAATGCCAAAGCCCACAACGATATTAGGAGCTCGGTTCCCAATTTACTAGGATGCCAATCCACCAGGCAGTGCTCTTGTGTGCAACCCCAATTCATTCTAAAATCAAGCGCTCACTGGATCATTTCTGCCTGTCCCCCATTCTGTCAAGTACCGTATTTTTTGCTATATAAGACTCACTTTTTCCCTCCTAGAAAGCAAGGGGAAATGTGTGTGCGTCTTATGGAGCAAATGCAGGCTGCGCAGCTATCCCAGAGGCCAGAACAGTGCTGTTCTGGCTTCTGAGATTGAGAATATTTTTTTTCTTGTTTTCCTCCTCCAAAAACTGGGTGCGTCTTATGGTCTGGTGCATCTTATAGAGCGAAAAATACGGTGATTAGATTATGCTTCGTTTACCAAATAGCTCATTACCCAAATACATCATTTCTTTTACCTTCTGAAGCTCAGCAATTTCCCTCTGCATATCTCTCCATACATTATACAATTCTACATATTCTTCCTTCTTCTGTGCGCCTTCAATCTTCTTAGCCGCAAGCCTACTTTTGATTTCTTCAATCTACAGTCAGAACAACTTTAATATAAGCAGAGCAAGGGGAAGGGGGAGATGGATCTTTCGTATTCTAAATAAAAGCAGACCAGCTTGCTGTTGATTTGTTAACACTCAGAGGAATCATCCTTAAATTGTAAGGTGCTTTTCACAAACTGCCCAGGCATCGCCTGTTTAAGGTAACCCAGGTACCTGTTTGATTCTGTGGACAGCTGTGCTAATACTGGACCAGACAGCCCAATGTCTGATACCGTCCGAGCAAGGCAGCGCCTCTTTATGGAACTGCAATTCCAGAAAACATACCTGTGCATATAGCCACTCTTTCTTTGTTTTAAACTCAGAGGCCTCTTGAGCCATTATTTGCTTCAGCTCTTGGATGGCACTTTCTTGCCTGCCAATTTCTTCCTCCTCATATTTTTTCAAATTGTGAAGCTCATTTATCTCAATGTTGACCTTATGTTTCGCTTCCATCGTCTCGTTCAACAATTCAACAGCTTCTTCGTGCTCAGCCCACAACTCCATTTCCTCCTCGCTGTCAAAAGAATGGCATGGGATGTGTTGAGACGTCACGTTTGCTTCATGGTGACAGAGAACAGCAGAAATGTACCATCACTTGCCATCACCTTATTGCAACTTTATCTTATGCTATGCAACCCAAAAAAGGGCAAGAGAGTCTTATTGATTGATTGATTGAGGATAGGGCAGGGCTACAAAGAGCTGTATCCAATGCAGTATACATGCAAGGATGCTTAAGCAAAGAGAATGTGCTGCTACTTCTTTCCCACTGCAGCCCCCTAAGATGCCTCTCCTGAGGGTTAGGAACATCAGGAAAGACAGGTCCTGGGATACATGATGGATCTCTGAGCAAGCAGCTGCCACCTGATTCCCCTCACTTCACCCCTCCACCCAGTGAAACCTCCACCCCTCACCCCAGGCTTTTCCTGGGGGGCCCTTGACCCCCAGGAGTAGCTTTGCAAAGGACACAAGGTGTTGCAGTGGGCAGAGGGAATTGTGTGAGCATCACTGGACACAAGCCAATGGGCTGTAGGCAATGTAGCAATAAAGTGAATGTTCCGTTCACACATTTAAAAAAAAATAAAATTCTATACCACTCTTCATCTGAGGATCACAGGCTGGTTTGCAATATAAAAACATAAAAGCAAAGTAACAACCAAAACAATACCCCACTGCAAGGATTCTCCTTGAACAATGGAACGTTCTCACCCACCCACACCCAGCATTCACCCTAAAACTGTTCTAGAGGTTTTCCCAACCCTAAGGAGCAGATTTGGGAACAGCACAAGGTACATGCAGGGGGAGGAAAGAGTGGGAAATCCGATTTCTCTAGTGCTAATCCTTGCACAAGCACAACTATTTAGTTGCATACCGCCCAATGTGTGTAAATAAGAGAGCAGCAGTTTTAGGTTAAACATTAAGACAGAGCTTATTAATAGCAGTTTTGTGATGGAACAACGTTATCTAATCATGTTATAGAATCTCCTTTCTTGAGGGCTTTCGAGACACCTATCGGGGATACTTTCAGCACAGGACAATTTAGGCTGGACAATTTCCCAATGCTATGATTTTGGTTGAACAAATCATGCCTACCACAGGTGAGCGTTTTGGTCTTTAGAGACAGTCTGCTTTGAATATGCCGATTCTATTGCAGTGGAGATCTCGTTTATGGATGTCTCAGTCTCATTTATCTTGATAAAACGATAGCGATGAGCAGCAGCCACGAGTTCTGGAACAAGAAATGTAAGACAGACTTACAAATACACACGCCCATGTACACACACACACACACACACACACACACCATTAAAATTCCCTGAGTGGTGTTTCTGTCTGACTTCCCGGCTTTGTGTAGCCGCTCTGACACTCATCCCATGAGAGCAACATCAGGAAGTCTACACACTCCCAAGAGATCAGGTAGCTACATTTAAAGAGAGGCAATTGATAGGTACACCTGGGTGAAAGAACCCAGGGTCAGATGCAGATCCTGAATTCAAGGGCACATTCCAGCCAGGCAAAGCCACTCAAAATGCAAAGCAGTGCCAGTGTGATAGAGTGGCCTGGAGGGCCAACTCTGGCTCCCAGACTTCTTCTCCGTTAACTTGTCTCCTCCCCTCTTAAAGCCAATACAACGGCTTCTCCCTATGTACACAGGCCTACACATTCCTTTGCCTCTCCAGCATGAGGTTCCTGGGGCAGCACCCCCCCCCCCCGGGAGTCATGGTCCACCCCTCCTTTTCAAGGAATCCCACAGGGATTACAGTCCACGCACAGGGAAAACTTTCACAATTGATAACGCAACGTACTTTGCACGCTGCCTCTGTGGGCATCCCGCTCTTCTCACAGCACTAATCCTCCGTAATAATTATGCAACAAATTTCTTTGCGCTTCTTTTTGCCCCCTGAAGCAGTAAGTTTTTAAAACAAGGTGATTCAAAACCTAACGGAAAAAGAACTTTTTGCAACAGACCTCCTGCTGATCTAATATTTCATGTAACCTATTTGCATTCGCTGATGGCTATATCAGGGATCCAGAAATGTGCAGAGTTTTAACACTAGAACTCATAATATATATTGGTTTTATCATTTTATTTATGCTATTTCAGTCACTTTATCTATGGGAAGGGAGGGGAAGCAGATATATAAGAGAGTGTGTGTACACAGATAATAGCTTTCTTTTTTCCTTAAAGTATTATTATTATTATTGTCATGTCCCTGCTCCCTTGAGAAAAACAATATCCCATCTTCTGTGGTCCAAAGTTTAAATTCTGCCACTAAATTAAACTACCTAAGTTCAATCAATCATGCTTTAAATGAATGGTTATACATGCTACAAATACATTCTATCTGCTGCTACATGCTATTATCCCATGACTCTGAAATACCTTCAAACTCCTTCATTACAAGCTCTGGGAACCCTTTGATTTGGACACGGAGATTGCTGTTTTTGATGGTCTCCTCTTCCCACAGTTCAATAGTATGTTTCCTCTCCTCTTCCTAGAAATGGACACATGGCCAAAAAATGAAATTCAGCACGATACCCCTGCACTAATTTAAGTACCACTCCAGTTTTATTTGAGAGAAGACATACAGAAACCAGGATCGCTAGCTCTGGAAAGCACATTCATCATGGTACTGTCCATAGCTGGCAACGTTTTCCCTTTTTTAAGGGAAATTCCCTTATTCCAAATAGGATTCCTCGCAAGAAAAGGGAAAAGTTGACAGCTATGGTACTGTCCTGTGTGCAATATTATGCCTGCTCTAGAGTAATAGAGGTATCCTGGACACAAGGTGCTCAATGCCCTGGGTGTAGGATGGAAAAGAATGTGAGTTTCAAGGTATATGTATGGCTCTTGAAGACTGAAGATCTACTAGCAAAGACCCTCTCTGATTGTTAAATTCTAGTAAAGCAGCAGAATGGTCTAGGGAGGCAGCTGACTGCATCCCAAATAACCAGCTGTAAATCCAAGGCACCTCATTTGATCAGGTCCAAGTTTGGTAATCAGAGAAATGCAGAGTTCCCTATTTTTTATGTGTCCCAAAGCTTTGCTTGTTTAAGTTCTGACATTACCAGTTTCTTGATGGATTTAATAGCATCTTCAAAGTGCTGCACAGTTTCCTTGTTGAACACAAGCCCTTCATTCTGAAGCTGTTTTTCTAAAAAAAATTTGGGGAAACAATAAAATCTTAAATCTTCGTAATATGCTGCAGCTTTCAGATTTACCGTATTTTTCGCTCTATAACACGCACCCGACCATAACACGCACGTAGTTTTTAGAGGAGGAAAATCCGTAGGCAAGCCACCCGTAGGCATTCCCTCCATAACACGCACAGACATTTCCCCTTACTTTTTAGGAGGAAAAAAGTGAGTGTTATCGTGCAAAAAATACGGTACTTATTATTATATCCCACCCTTCATCTCTTTCATGATCCCAGAGTGGACAACAAAACATTACTAAATTGAACAATTTGCAAATTTACAGTAAACACGATATAAAATAGCAGCCAGCAATATTATTCAAAGCCTACTTGTCAATATCCAGCAGCAAATGCCAAAACCATCCCCAGCATTACAACAGCAGCTCCACCCAGCAAAATATCCCCCATCAGTCCCCACTAAAAGTCTAGGAGAATTAAAATGTTTTCAATTGGCTCTTAAAGAGGGCCAAAGATGAAACCAATTGTATTTCAGAACCCTACTGGCCTGGCTTGCATGTCCCACTAATCCAAACTCTGTCATAGTGTGAATGTGTGTGTGTTGGCTCCCAGAAAGGAGCTTACAGCTGCTTTACTTCTGTCTTTCCATTTTGCTGGCACGCTGAGCTAAGCTAAGTTTTGGCTGAGTGTCTTGTCCAAGCCTGGGCTCAGCTCTCTCTAAACTAACCCTATCCCTATGACTTTAATCTGTTTTAACAGTTTTCAATTCTGAATTTTATACTGTTGTAACCCACCTGGGGTACCTGCTGGTGAAGGGCACATAATACATTTTATTAAATTAAAAATAATAACCACCACCAGCTGTAATTTCTCCATGGTTAAGTAATGCCAAAGGGAAGTAAATCTTGACGAACTAAAGGCGTAATGAAAGAATATAAACAAGCTAATGTAATACAAAAAAATGTTAATGTAATATAGCACCAATTAAAAATGAACAATATGGATCTCTAGCTGTATCCAAAGCAAAAAAATTAAAATCCAAACACAAATAGTATAAATAAATCTAATATTCATAAACATGACAAATGTGCCTCATTAAATATCACACAGCATGCAAAAATATGAATAGACTATAAACAGTCAAAATCATGTTGACCTTGGTCTTCCTCAGTGGTCTCATGAACTCTGCTTGGTTAAAAAGAAACTACATCTCAACAGATAATAAACCAAATGTTATTTGAGTTAATCACAAAGTAGCATTACCAGTTAGAGCTATAAATGATAATGCTCATCGGGTCTTTGAGTATACCATATAAATGAATGTCACATTGTTCAATCTAGCTGGCACTCAAGGTTCTTCCAACCAAGGCATGTTTTTTGAAAAAATAATCTGGCTACTGAGCCTTGAAATTGTGCTGCCTTGGACTGTTACCTGGGTCCTCACGTTAATTAAAAATGCTGTTCTAATTTGAAGACATTGTGGCAATCTAGGATGTAGATTGCAAGATTTATGCATTAGATCAGCTGAAAGGAACAGATTTCGTTTTCTTTTGTCAGCTAAATATTATGTACCAATGAGCGCATCAAAAGGGAACTCACCTGAACTTAAGATTTACAGCTGTCTTGTGATGTTATGTCATCTCCTGCTATACTGACTGCAATAATCTGCTAAAGGTTCAATTCAGCACACTCTTTGATACCTTACATTTCACTGTCAGGGCTGGTGGCCCAGAGGCAAACAGTCAAAAGGAAGAAGGCAGTCAATGAGGAGCTGTAAGCCAGAATCAGCAGCTTTAAAGGGCCAGATGAAACTCTTAGTGATTCTACACAACAGCAGTTCCCTTATGGAGAGGGAGCTGCAATACCACCTTCTGGCCATTGGTGGTGATGGCGCTGCAGAGCAGCAGAGATCAGAGACATCATTCTTTCAGTCTGCAATGCAGTGCAGAGAATAAAGGGCCAAAATTATATTCACATAATTATGCCGCATACAGCCACATATCATTTCCTTAAATAATTGCAAGCATAGGAGAGACTGAGTCTTACTGGGAAGGAAAAGCACAGGGAGAGGAAGGCTTAAATCTTCAGTTTCCTCATCCTGCCTTCCCATTAAAAATTGGGCTCTTAATTATTTACAGAAAAACCTCACACTGTGTAATTAAGTGAATATATAGTTTGGCCCTTAGATGTCTGGGCTCCACCATCATACTGCCAGTCCAAGATTCCCAGCACCTTAGATTAGCAAACCTAGAATAGGTGACAAAAGGGCGGCCTTGTTATTCATGTAAAAAGTGATGCAATCCCTACTTAGGCAAGTTCTTTTTATCAGCTTTCCTCAGCCAGCTTCCATTTTTCAGCGGTATCATCCTAACAGCGTTCAACATATTTCCAAGTAGTTCTGAATGACAGAAATCAATTTCGTCTCTTTCGTGAGAAGAAAACACAACAAAAACAACCATAAAGATTCACAGCCTCCAACTTTTGAATGAGCCTTGCAACATATTCCCAGAAAAGTCCAGTCTGGTGAAATCTCCACTAGCTATAATTAAAAGCTACTACGAATTGTTGGCATCTGTTGCACAGAAGCTGCATCATTAAATATGCCATTCCTCCTATGTTGTTGTTTAGTCGTTTAGTTGTGTCCGACTCTTCGTGACCCCATGGACCAGTGCCTCTAATCTGGATTTGGTATGCTCCGGACGTGAGATTTGTGTACCCGAAGATGTTTTTGTACAGCTGGCATTACTCTTACTTACATTGGAGCAATAATGGCAGTGTTTAGCAACAATATTGTGGTACTTCTTTTAATAGCATTATTATTAATAGCATAGTTATTAATAGCATACTTATTCCGAGGGGAGATAACTATCCCTTAAGGTTTTTAATTATGTTTTTAATACAAATTTGGATTCTCAAAGTTATGAGCGCTTGTTGTTTTAATATTATTATAACCACCTTGTTAATGTGCACAGGGAAAATCAGGACATATCAAAAATATTCCTTTGCTTGTGATTTTGAATAATTCTGAGGTCAACTGAGCATTTTCTGTCACTTTCCTTATTGCAAAAGGTCCAATTTTGGAAGGAAGTGGGCTTGTTGTAGCAGACCTCCAAACCAAGTTTAGCGATGCAGCTTGAATTCACTGCTATGTGTCTGAGGCAAGCTTTACCTACTACGGAAGTAAAAAATGCAGATGATTTAGGGCAGTTCCAAATGGTTTCTGTTTTCGGCTGGGAGATTCAATCACATTCCAGCAAATTTAGGTTGGGCAATTAAAGCAGATTTGGAGAGCTGGCTCATCAAACCTGCTTCCCCAAAGTGAAAAGGAAAAATGAAGCAGGGCAGGGGTGGCACTTTATTTATGGAACTTCGTCTAATCTCCCCACTTGCAAACAAATAAAAAAAAAACCGGCTCAATAAAAACATGTCAGCTTCACCTAACCTCCCTGCAATGAACGCTCAATAAGCAGGACGTGGGAAAGCACTCTCGATTTAACTTTCTGCATCAAGAGTGCTCTTAAAAACACGACAGCCAGCAGGACTAATAAGGGTGAAAAGGACAATAAAAAAGGGGCTAAGCTTCTGTATTTTCCTTACACCACAAAGCACAGAGGTTGGATAGCCATCTGTCAGGGATGCTTTTGTTGAGATTCCTGCGTTGCAGGGGGGTCAGACTAGAAGACTTTCAGGATCCCTTCCAACTTCTACGATTTATGTGGAAATTACTCAATCATGGGCTGCCCTAAGTCTGGAATTTCCCAGACAAAGCTGGAATTCGGCCATCAGAAACCCTCTAGGTGGGATTTTATTTTTTTTTAAGTAAATTTTTATTATTTTCTTTACATATTCTTTTTCCAACAATCATTATTGTTACCATATATTCCCTTTGACTCTGCCGAGTCTTGACTTCCCTCCCTCCCTGCAGTTGGTATATTGCACCCCGTCTTATCGCGCACATTATTTTATATCACTATTGTTTTTTTAGGTGGGAAATTGCAGAATTGTCCGCGAAAATCCAGATGTATGGCAACCCGTGTAGATTTCGGCAAATTTTTGTATCTCGATTTTCACTTTTTGAACGTGGCAGCCCTTTTATGACTGGGTACTTCTTGATGTGCGCTGGGCTGGACTAGATGACCCTGGGGGGTCCCTGCCAATTCTACACTCCTATTATTCTACTGATGGTTTATGACTAATTCTGCTATGTTTAATAATAATAATAATAATAATAATAATAATAATAATAATAATATTTATTTATACCCCGTCCATCTGGCTGGCAAGTCGCCTTGAGCATGGCTCTAACCATAGGAAGGCGGCGTTCAGATTAAATGATGGCGAGATCTAAATTTAATAAAGGTAGATAGATAGATAGACAGACAGATAGTGGGCTGGACGCGGGGAAGAATAATGTCTCCCCACTCCAGCTCAGAGAGCTGTGCGCCAAAATAAGCCAAAATTGGGGGTTCCCCTCATTCTCCCCCCCCCCCCAAAAAAACCCCTGATCCCTGTGAAGGAAACTGCTCCCGCGGCGCGGAGGAGGGAAAACAGCTCACCCACGCTGCCCAAGTGGCCCAGAGCCGTCGCTGCCGCCGTGGACTCGGGTCGGGTGCAGGGCGGAGGCCGGGGATCCATCGCGGCCAAAAGCCAGGCTAGGCCGCGCGGTTGCCACGGCAACGGGGCGAAAGGCGGCCTAGCGCGCGGGCCGCGATCCTGCGCGCGCCTTCCTGCCTGCCTGCCTGCCTGCCTGGGAGCAAGAACCGTGGAAACCGGTGGGGTTTGCCTCGGAGGAGGCGTGCAGGGAGCTGCGCAGTTTGCAGGAGCCGGGCAGCAACACCGCAAACGCTTCAAATGCTCTGCCCGTGCTTTAAGAACAAAGAACAGAAGCGCTCTCCCTATTTTTTTGTTTGTGGCTTTCATTGATTTTTTTAAAGGGGGGTGCTTTTAAAATTAATAATAATAATAATAATAATAATAATAATAATAATAATTTATACCCCGCCCATCTGTCTGGGTTTCCCCAGCCACTCTGGGCAGCTCCCAATAGATTATTAAAAACATGCTAAAACATTAAGCATTAAAAACACCGTGTGCACTTGCATGTGCGATAATGCACCTATCTTCCCTTCCCTGTTTAATAATCACGTCTAACTAATCATTACATCCTAAGTACAATGAATTGATCATTATTAGCGCCCCCTTTTCAGTTCACATGACGACTGACGTAGAAGGGGAAAGAAAATTTAAATTATTTGTTTGTTTCATAAAATGTATACACCGCCAGATTGTAAAAACGAGAAAAAAGAGAAAGAAAAACAACAACCCTCAAAGCGGTTTGTTTAAAAGCAATATGAAAAGGTCTTGAAACTATGCGTGGCGTTTTACCTGTGCAGGGCAAAACTATTTGATAAAAAAAACACTTGTGGTTTATCCTACAGACTCTTCTGGCTCCAAGGCAAGACTCCTCTCCACAATGTTTTCCTTGCATTATGTGGTCCCCCCCCTCCCCAGAGTTTCTTTCTCAGCTTTTTAAATATATTTTTTATTAAAGATTTTCTTGAATTACAAAAATACAGTGTAACAACGCAGCATAAGCTGGTGCATGGGGTTCTGTGTGTACAAATGCGAAAATATGTAGCATCCGAGCTGCTCGCCTCTTGAATTATGCTCAAGAACCATGAAAAATGAAAATTGAAATACAACTTTCCATGATGTATTTCCACCTCGGAGCTGCTCCAGACTCGAGTTTCACTGCAGGTATATATATTCTGCAGCATCTACTTGACGGTGGAGTTATCCTGCTTTTTGAATTGTTCTGCAGTGCTCTCCCAAGGCTACCACATTATTGCTGTCTGGAGGGACTATAGCACAACAAGAGGGGGAACCTCCTCCGCCCCCCCAAAAAAAGATCAATTGTGGTTTGAAAAGCTACAGGATTCAGAAAAGAAGTTACAGGATATTCACTGAAACAGCAAGACCACTCTAAAACTTCTGCAGGTGGAAATAGTATTGAAAGCAGGATTGCAGATGGCTACCCTGAAATGTCATGTGCACAAATTATCATGAACAGACAATATAAAGAATGGAGAAGTCAGTAGAGGGACATTTCTGGTTGATTATAAGCATAACAGTTCAAGAGAAGTCACTATGAGTTCTTCATGTGCAGTGCAAATCCAGCTTCATAAATTGCCTTATAGATTTACAGTACATCCCAGAAAGTCAAATGCTGGATCAGCCATCAGCTTTACTCTTCTCTTTATATGTACTAGGTGGGATATCTGCCTTTTCATTTTTTTAAAGCAGCATGTATACAGTTACTGTATACTCCCATCCTCCTTCCCCATCACAAAACATCTTTTCAAAAAAAGTTTCAGAATTGTTTCACAGATTGGAAGAGATATTGTATGTATTGCTGGCATCATTAGCTAGGTAAAGGTACCCCTGCCCGTTCGGGCCAGTCTTGCCAGACTCTAGGGTTGTGTGCTCATCTCACGCTATAGGCCGGGAGCCAGCGCTGTCCGCAGACACTTCCGGGTCACGTGGCCAGCATGACAAGCTGCATCTGGCGAGCCAGCGCAGCACACGGAACGCCGTTTACCTTCCCGCTGGTAAGCGGTCCCTATTTATCTACTTGCACCCGGAGGTGCTTTCGAACTGCAAGGTTGGCAGGCGCTGGGACCGAACGACGGGAGCGCACCCCGCCGTGGGGATTCGAACCGCCGACCATGCGATTGGCAAGTCCTAGGCGCTGAGATTTTACCCACAGCGCCACCCGCGTCCCTTTGGCATCATTAGCTAGTTGCTAATAAACACTGCCCACAAACACCTCCCCACCCCCTGCTTCTTGATGTAAATTAGCCATCTGGAAAACTTGCAGCATGTGTTTTGTAGAGCTCATCCTGGGGCAGAATAGAAACATGTTTGCATGTGACGCCGCGATTGCATTCATATCCACAACAAAGAAACAAAGCACATGGCTTCCCTCAAAGAATTCTGAAGACTGTAATATGTTAAGGGTGCTGGGAATTGTAAGCATTTTCAAACTACCATTGTCCCTGTCCTAAAAAAAAAATAATAATCTTATATGTATCTTCCGCATTGAACACATCTGGAGATGGAAAAACTAGGCAGCCAAACAGAGTGATCTCCAGCAAGGCATTCAGAGAATATACCTTTCCCTATTCTTAGCGGGCCAAAATCATCTGTCTCTTTGCTTCCAGGAATTCAATATACCCAAATTGCTCCCTGCTTGACTGTGTTGGCTGGTTCCCATTGGGACTGGCAAGGCAGAAGACAGGGAAATCAACAGGAGGTGGAGACAGAGCCATTGAGAGCGGAGGCACCTAATTCCAATTCCCCACTGGTACCATTCTCTCCCCTGTTAAATTCTTCAAGGGAAACCCAGCCAAGGCCACCACATGGATTGTAATTTGAAAGGCAGGAGTACAGAGGCTGGTTGAGGGCAGACTGAGGTTGTTGGAGCAGTGCTCCATTTTTCCTAATGGACCAGCCCCCCGTTACTTGCCACACTTTCCATCAGAGCGAGATCCTTACTACAAACTGTACAATCCATTCAGAAACAAACGCTCCTAAATGTGGGGAAAGCTTGAATTTGGGTGAGGTCGTTATTCGGTATTGGGGGGAATGCATTCAGAGGAGGAAGTAGGTAGATATTCAGTCTTCTGGCAGAGCTCTAGGGATAAATCAGGCCATGTTTGGCATTGGATCTGATACAGGGGAGGAGCCATATAAATGCTCCATTGTGATAAGAGCCTCAACAAGTGTAAGACTTCCCTCAGAATCTCCTGGTTCCTTCTGCTCCATTTCCAGTCTTCCCTGTACTTAAATGAACCATAAGTTGCCACTTCATTGCAGCCAAAAAACCCTCCAGAACTATTTGGCTATATTAAGCCATGCAGAATGTACAATGTTTCCAGGCAATTTAAAGGTAGTGACTGCAGGTACGATCCTGGAGTCCAAGATCGTTTTGAAACAGGCTGTCTTGGGGATTAGAAGCAAAAGCATAATGAGTTCCTAGGACTCTGGGAGCCTGCACTGATTCTGCCTTGAGTACTCTCACGGAATGCCTTTGCACATAACACTAAACCATGGTTTAGTGCTGCAAAAGTGAGCAAGCCCTCAGCTTCTGCATTGCCTTCTCCTTGTGCGCAGGACTTCAGCTGAGTTTAGTTTGATTTTAACTAATCTTGGCACAGTGTTATGTATTAGTCAGGGGTAACAGTGGTCAGTTGTTAAACAAGTCAACTGCAAACCATGGTTTATCTAACTACTGCTTGTTTTAAACCAGGATCCCTGGTTCTACTTCATGCTGAGATTATTTGAAAAGCAGAATTAAACTTGGTAGATGTCTGTGTCTTGACCACATAGGAGGGGGAGAAATGGAGCACATGAGGCAGAGGCTTTGCTCAAGCTCATAGAGGCTCATCTGTGGAGCACTAAACCATAGTTTAGCAATTCATGCAAACCAGGCCACTATTTATGGTAGCTGTTGGCACTATTTATAGTTTCCCTACCACTGCTTCCTATAGTTATCTCCCGCTTGGACTACTGCAATGTGCTCTACGTGGGGCTACCTTTGAAGGTGACCTGGAAACTACAACTAATCCAGAATGCGGCAGCTAGACTGGTGACTGGGGGCGGCCGCCGAGACCACATAACACCGGTCTTGAAAGACCTACATTGGCTCCCAGTACGTTTCCGAGCACAATTCAAAGTGTTGGTGCTGACCTTGAAAGCCCTAAACGGCCTCGGCCCAGTTTACCTGAGGGAGCGTCTCCACCCCCATCGTTCTGCCCGGACACTGAGGTCCAGCACCGAGGGCCTTCTGGCGGTTCCCTCATTGCGAGAAGCAAAGCTACAGGGAACCAGGTAGAGGGCCTTCTCGGTAGTGGCGCCTGCCCTGTGGAACGCCCTCCCATCAGATGTCAAAGCAATAAACAACTACCTGACATTCAGAAGACATCTTCAGGCAGCCCTGTTCAGGGAAGTTTTTAATGTGTGATATTTTAGTGTATTTTTGGTTTCTATGGAAGCCGCCCAGAGTGGCTGGGGAAACCCAGCCGGATGGGCGGGGTACAAATAATAAATTATTATTATTATTATTATTATTATTATACAACAGAAAGCTGATTTTTCTGAAAGATATTATCCAGTTCCAGTGCTGCCAAGATGAACTTACAGCCTGCTGAGGCTATTGAAGAGCCATTTCTCAGAGAGAACCTAAGTCAGCAGCAGTGATGTGAAATGGAAGGCAATGCTGCAGAGTCATATTATTATGAGTACCTTTTGCTACATACGCAGTATAAAACTGTACGCAGTATGAAACAGGATGATAGCTGTGATTAAAATGGCAAAGAGGACCTCTTTTTTTTTAACATTTAGTAACATTTATTTCTGCATTCGGTATCAAGTACATAAGTGCAAATATTCAGAGTCCATAATTAAGTCCTACAGAGAACGTCATACAAATCTGTGATACATGTTACAAGCCGGAAGTCTTCAATTCCCATACATGTTGATCAGCCTGTTGATCCCTTAAGAACAAAAAAAAAGTACTGGGTGGGTTGGTTTTGCTTGATTCTTCTTTTTTTTTTTTCCTTTTAGAGAGTTATACAAAACAGCTTATACCATATCATTACCGGTTTCTCTTTCGTTTTTCATTACTTGTGCTGGAAAAAACACAACAACACTTAAGGACGTCTGTCTACGATTCTAGATAAGTTAGTAAAGATAAACTCAACCAGCAAACCCAGTGGACATAGAAGCAAAACCGCATCAGTGCACTAAGCAGGAAAGCCCTAGCGACATGTAACATTAAAAGTTATCGAAGCAATGCCAATAGAAGGAGGAGGAGGAAGAAGAAGAAGAAGTAGTAGTAAGAGAAGCACTAGGAAATAAAAAATAGAAAGTTCAATAGTATTTTTAGGCTCTCACCATCATGCACTTGAGAAGCAACACAAGAACCACACTTAGAACACTTTTTCTCTTTACTATACTTTAGTGCTTGACACACGTGATTGCAAATAGTCTAAAAGAGAACAGAAACAGCAGGAGAGGAGAAAAAAACAGCTGCTTCGTTGTTTCACATCTCTGAGATCATGGTGTTTGAAAGAGAGAGAGGGGTGAAGGCAGATGTACCACGTTTAGAGCCCTCCGACGGGCACCTCAGCTGCGTTCAGTCCAAACGTCCCTTTCCTTTCCAGGGTCGAGCTCTGGGTGGAAAAGAGTTCTGCAATTCTGAAGCGGGAGTTGGCTGTGGACAGTGCCGATTGGCTGGCTCCCTATGACGTCACCCAGACACTCGTCCCTCCCCATCCCTGGAGTATTTCTGCACTTAAAAAAGAAACACAACCCAAAAGTGCCTGAAAATTCAAGTGAAGTTCTCGTTTTTATTTTTAAAAAGAAAAAGCTGGACAGCCAACCTGAAGCCACAGGGCTGGGGGAGGAGAGAGAGCCAGCCAGCTGAACCAGTGTTCACTTCACTCGCACTGCAGCTGAGGGACACTCTGTATGAAATCTTTCTATTTTACATCTGCCTTCACCCAGAGAGAGAGAGAAAGAGAGAGAGACGAACAATAAATTATAAGTAAAAAGTAAGAACAGAGCTGTTTTCATCCCAGACTCCCTCATCATTCACGCCTGTAGGTGAGGAATTCTTGCTGCTGTTTCTACTCAGCCTTCCTCTTTGCGCCTGGGATTTTTGCTTGCATCCTAGAGATGAAAAGGGGAGATTAAAAAGAGAGAATTAAACACTGATTCAGACAAGCCGCTCCACGGCGTGTTTCATTTTCTCTGCTAGACAGCGCTCATATGGTACAGCTCCTTTCACTCAGAAACATTTTCAGCTAGGTTGCGCTCGCTCATGAAAAGAGGCAGTCTTTTTTTGTATCTTCCTTTCTATTTAACCTAATTTGTACACCGATTAATTGCAAGAACCCCTCAGTGGTTTGCGTAAAACATCAAAGGTGCTTTAAAATGATTAATAAAAGTCAGAAGTTAAAAAGAAGTTGACTGAAAATATTTAAATACAAATAAAACCAGCAGTTAAAATACCCCCCCTCTCCCCCTACACACAGAAATGTGCATGTCAACTTTGCATACTTGGGTAGTCTTGCTTAAACAAAAACACAATTACCAGGTGCCAAAAATAGGACAGTGGTTTGCCTGATTAAATCTCTGAAAGCCCCTCACCGCATGCCCAGTGAAAAGCTCTGCAGAGATTTGGAGAGACCAGATCAGGGTATGAAAAAGCTAAGTGAGTGTGTTTGGCCAGGACTGGAATTCACATTAATCACATGGCGAGGAGTCTGATTCTGCCTTTTAAAAATCCTGACAGTCCCATTTCAAAAAAGCTGCCTTGATAGGCAGGGAAGGAGGCTCAGTATAGGATTTGCAATGCAGAATCATAGAGGGGAGGAACCCTTTTTTTCCATAGCTGATATAAATAAATTGGTATTGTTAATATTATTTCGATTTCTTACCCTGACCTTCATCGTAAGGTCCCAGGGCAGGTTACAACAACATAAAGAAAGGCAATATTAAAATCAGTTAAAACAATTTACACCAGAAGAATTGGGGGTTTGTATTTGTGTGAGAGGTGTCAAAGGCCAGGGCAAAGAGATATGTCTTCAGAATACTGCAAAAGCTGTACAATGAAGGTGCCAGACAGATCACGGCAGGGCGGGAAATCCACAGCTTAGGGGCTGGCCTAGCAAATCCCATCTCCCCAGCTGCCTCTCCCAAAATGTCCAAGGGCAGTGGAACTAACAATAGGGTTCTCTCTGCTGATCTGAACCCTCCATAAGGTCTGTGGGGAAGAAGGCGGTCTCTTGCAATACGAAAATCTTCCCTAACAATAGAAAGAAAGAGGACCAGGCAAGATTAATCCTTTGTAAGATTCTGCAACCTGAAAAAATATATAACTGTGAGGAATACAATTGGAGAGACGAGCTGCAGGCTGTTTGTGGACACCCCCAAGGGAAGGTTTGACCCTTCTACCCTCAACCATCCCTACTGTATAGTTGTCAGTAACTTGACCCTCTAGGAAAACATTGCATTAGGAGACTCACTTCGCCACGACGGTATTTATGTGGGTCCTCACAAGCCCCAAGTATTGGTCGATCTGTGCCTGAAAAGAGAGGAGGATGGGGGAGAGAAATCAGTGAGGCATCAACATGGAAGAATCACAGAAGAGTTGGAAGAGACCCTGAGGATCATCAGGAAGCCCTGTTCAGGGAAGTTTTTAATGTGTGACATTTTAATGTATTTTTAATCTTTGTTGGAAGCCGCCCAGAGTGGCTGGGGAAGCCCAGCCAGATGGGCGGGGTACAAATAATAAATTATTATTATTATGTTGTTGTTGTTGTTGTTGTTGTTGTTGTTGTTGTTGTTGTTGTTGTCCAACCCCCCTGCAATGCACGAATCTTTCACCCAATGTGGGGCTTGAATCTATACATTTGACAGAGGTGTTCTCCAGAGCTGATGTAGCTAAATCATCATCATTTCATTATTTATACCCTGCCCATCTGGCTGGGTTTCCCCAGACACTCTGGGCGGCTTACAGCTCTCAACAAACACACACTTTGGTCATAATCCCCGAGTGAAAAATCTTCCATACTTTATAGTAATATTTCCCATTTGCCCACTGTCCATTTTGTAATAATTTGTGTGCAATGGGGACAAAATAATTAGTTAAAAAATAAGGGGAACCGGGGGGGGGGGACGACACACTCTCCCACTGCCAAGAATAACTTCTCCCTGAGACCTATAGATTGCATTAGGAAAAACAGAGCCAAGTGTGCTAAGTGGCTCTCAGGGTGGTGGGAGGCAATGGGGTCAGGAGAGAGGAGGGCAGGATCTGGTGTTGGAATACTGCAACAAAACTTGTTAAACCATTTTCCCAAGCTTGGGGAGCGAGGCATTTGGGCTCTGCTTCAGACAGAAAAATGTATTTGGCCTTTATAGATTATGCTAAATAAATAAATAAATAGAAAATCTTTTTTTTTTTTAAAGAAAGAAACCCACACCAAATGGCTAGCAGCCAACACTTTCTCCAAACTATCTATGCATTACTCACCAGTGCATCTCATCGCTTCCCTATCTTTGCAAAACAGTTTTGTTTTGTAAAAGAAAAAGATCTAGAAAAGCCCCAAGCGTGTATTCAAAATAAAGAACACAGACTGAGAAGTAAAGAGAAATTATCTATCATCTGTCTGCCTGCCTGCCTGCCTGCCTATTTATCTATCATCTATCTATCTATCTATCTATCTATCTATCTATCTATCTATCATCTCTCTATCTGCACAATGGATTCAGAGAGCTGCATGCAACAATCATTAGTTTGAGGCCACTTTGCACATGACAGCCACCATATGGCGACCCTTCTGAATCACTCCACGGAGTGGGTGTTGCTTCATGGTGAGCTATTCATGTCCAGCATGCAAACCATGCAGTTTAACTTTTCTCCATCCCGCCCACCACAAAATACTGGAAAAGGAAAACAGTGCATGTTAGGGAGAGAACAAAACTACCTGAACCCCAAGAGTGAGCTCCAGCATGCAAACAGCTTCCACACATGAATAGCCGCAACGTGGAAGGATTCACTGAATCGGCTTTCACTTGGTGGCCCCTGACATGTACACTGCCCCATCAAAAATGGTTTCTCTTTGATCAAACCTTCAGCGATCTACAGAATGGGCCTGATGGCTGCTCAGGCCCTCAACCTTCTGCCACAGACCTGCTGCATATAGATCCACCAGCAGAGTTGATTAGGATTGCACTCTAAAATGGCAACCCAGGGCTGGATCAAGACCTTTAGAGGCCCTAAGCCAGGCATAGGCAAACTCGGCCCTCCAGATGTTTTGGGACTACAACTCCCACCATCCCTAGCTAACAGGGACCAGTGGTCAGGGATGATGGGAGTTGTAGTCCCAAAACATCTGGAGGGCCGAGTTTGCCTATGCCTGCCCTAAGCACTTAAAAGATTTCCATAGGATCATTGAATTGTAGAGTCGGAAGGGATTCTTGGCCATCTTCTAGTCCAACCATACGCAGCCGTCCGAAACAGGGATCGAACCTGCAACCTTGGCGTTATCAGTACCATGCTCTAACCAACTGAGCTATCCATGTTTTGGTGTCCCGATATAGATCTAATTCAAAATATAAACAATAATAAGCTGTAAAATAACTTTTTATTCTTCGCAGTGAAATGAAACCTACAGTAAGATGGGAGATAATGTTTATTTTTGTGTACTTCTACTTTATTCCATGCTACGGACAAGTTAATTACCACCTTACAGCTGAATCTTGTGCTTTCGTGCTTTAATGAATATAGACACAATTTTGTCTCAGAATTTGTAAACTGAAAAGTGGACTTGCTGATCCATGGTAAATCTGGCAATGGAAAATTTCTGTGGTGCCCCCCTTCTCTTGATGCCCTAATAGGTCAAGGTAAAGGTACCCCTGACCGTTAGGTCCAGTCGCAGACGACTCTGGGGTTGCGGCACTCATCTTGCTCTATAGGCCGAGGCAGCCGGTGTTTTGTCTGCAGACAACTTCCGGGTCATGTGGCCAGCATGACTAAGCTGCTTCTGGAGAACCAGAGCAGTGCACAGAAATGCCGTTTACCTTCCCGCCAGAGCGGTACCTGTTTATCTACTTGCACTTTGACGTGCTTTTGAACTGCTAGGTGGGCAGGAGCTGGGACCGAGCAATGGGAGCTCACCCCGTTGCAGGGATTTGAACCGCTGACCTTCCGATCAGCAAGCCTTAGACTCTGTGGTTTAGACCACAGCGCCACCCGTGTCCCTTTTCTTGATGCCCTAAGCATGTGCTTATTTTGCTTAATGGTTAATCCAGCCCTGTGGCAACCCCTCTGGAAATTGTTCCATTCATTTCTTGTCTCTAATCAAATGACTTTTATGGGTGTTTGAGACACAATAGGAAACTTGTTTGTCAGCAGATATAATAGATATGTGCATATTGCTTAATGTGTTTCATCACACCATCAGCTCTCTGAGAAAGATGCTCACTGCAGCTTCCTTCATGGTGGCTGAAAGGTCTCCAAGAAACTACACAAAGCCACTTCCGAGCTGGAGAGGAGGTGGGGTTGCGGGCCCATCCCTCCCACTCACACAGGGGCTGGCTCTTAGCCCCCGCGAGAAGAGGGAATCCCCGGGCGTGCCTACGACCCGGCCCGCCAATCGGCGGGCTGGGGAGGCGTGGCCTAGCCCATTTAAGGCCGGTGCGCCTGGGGACCGCCCTCTTTGCCCCGTTCCAGCTGCCCGGTTTTACCATTCCACCCACCCTTTAGGCTTAGCTAGCTTTGACCTTGGTTGGTCGCTGCAAGGGGCCTGGTAGGAATTTTTCCAACTTGGCGCACTTCCAGCCATTTGGTTTTTTCGCCTACCTCGTAGCAAACATCACAACTTCCTCAGTATTGGCGGTTAGGCATTGGCAGGGGTAATTGTTATGCAAACTACACAATCTCAACTGTTCATGAACCCCATGGCTGTTGCGGAAAGGACTACTGCCTTTCAACATTTCTTTAACAACTGCCTGATTCCTCTTTTGGAGGTCAACCTCCCTAACTGGGTTTTATGGATTAAGGAAACAACTGCAAAATGGGCCTTCTACATACCTGGTACTTGTCGTATACGACAGGTAGAGTAAACATTGAGACCACAGCTAGAGAGAAGGAAAAAGAAAGAGCATTACATTCCCAGAGTTCATAGTCTTTTTTTACTTTTTCTTTTGCATAACATATGTATTAAATGAAGTTTTCCAAGCACTGATACATTTCTGAGGGAGACCCTGAAATAGGAACAAAAGTTTAGGAAGGCTTGTCATCTTTATAGCTGCAAGTCTTTCTCGTGCTTAGAGCTCACTGTGAATTGTGTTCCTGATTGAAAGAAGAGGCAGAAGAAATGAATAATAAATCTCAATTCGAGGAATGTGAAGAGCTAGAAGAGCAAGAGTGACAGAGAGAGAGAGAGAGAGAGAGAGAGAGAGAGAGAGAGAATGAGAACAAATTTATTCAGGCAATTTGCTTTCTGTGTTAAACCTACATGCAAACAGGAGGAACAGAGACGAGAGTGCTAAGTTCCACCACACCCATCACTCTCCAGCTTATGGAGAATGAAGGTCTAAAGCAGGCAGCCCCCTTCACACACTGAAGCTCCTCGCCTGATTTAGAACCCCAGTTACACAGGTTGGGTTTTGTACATGAGCATGCTAGAGGCAAAGGACAGAATGCGTGTGAGCCAGAGGGCCCATATTCTGTCACTTTCCACAAGCTGCCACTTGGGGTTGACACCCTGGGCTGGTTCTTACAATAACTGATATACTTCATCTCAATAGTTGGAAAAAAGGAACATCGGAAGCTTCCTTATACCAGATCAGACTATATATCTGTATAGCCCAGTCAGGGTGGCATGATGGAGCGGCGGCACTTACCAGACCTCCCAACAGCCGTGCCACTGATGCTTACTGGGATTAAGAGGGGCGAAGCAGCAGGGAGGTTGGCATGGTGCAAGCACAGTGGCGTTGTTTTCTGAATCAGAACTTAAATAAGTCTCTATAGGACTACCAGCCAAGAAGTTATAATTGGTCTGGTTCATGCATAACACTAATCCATGGTTTACTGAAGTGTGCTTTAGTAAACCATGGATTAGTGTTACGTGCAAATCCTGCCCAATGGCTAAACTCTGGTTTGTTTACAAATTAAACCATAATTTGAAGTCATGGTTGTTGTTGTCTTACCAACCTTGGTTTAACTATTATGTGTGAACCCAGCTTTGCTTGGCTATCCCCCCCCCCCCCAAGCTACAAAGACATGAGGCCAGAGCAGCTTGAAAACAAAACAAGCTTTGGGGAAACAAGCTGTGGTTTGTTTGATCGTCTTTGAGAGAACTTATGGTTAACTCATGGTTTGTTTGTTTTTGAAATGGATTAAAACAAACCACGGCTTAGCATTCTGTGCAAACCAGGCCAGCAGGAAACAATTGACACTGTACGGAGAACGTATTTCAATGGAGTTGATGAAGCTGTTTTGTCCCAAGAGATACTGCTGCCTAATTTCAAAAAAGATTATCTTAAAATAAATGATTGACCTTACCCATTATCAGAAGAGTTAGGCCATTGAAGAGGGCTCCAACGTAAGTCAATAGCCACATTAGTACTGCAAACTGAATTAGAAAGACAGTAATTACATCTCCAACAAGCACACTATATTGACAATAAAAAAGTGATAGGAGATCCAACAGACATTTAAAGCACATCACTTACCCAAAGAATCCTGGGAATTGTAGTTTTCCTTTGCATAGCTGTGTTTCCAAGCATCCTTAGTAAACTACACTTCCCAGGTTCCTTTGGAGGAAGTGATGTACTTTAAATGCACACTTAATGTGCTTTAAATGTATGGTACAGAAAACTCTGGAAAACTTAGCTTTATTATTTCAGTTTCCTGAGCATTATCCCCCTAGATTTATTTAGCTAAATCTGGGCTAAAATGTCATATTACAGTATACAACTGAGAGTGAATTGTGCAAAATAAGCAAATATATGACTATCATTTATTTGTACAGGCTGCAGAACTGAGTTTCCACTTAATGCAAAACATCTTTTTTTTAAAAAAACACCTTTTATTACAAGAAATGAATAATATTCCTAATAAAATACACAGCATAAACACAACTAAACAATATAGACATACATAACAGTGTGTGAAAACATCAAATCCCAAAGGCAGGCGAGGAGTAGGATTTCTAGGTTATATGTTTGTGTTTCTTTGACATTTAGGTCATTTTGGTGACTACCCTAAAAACAAAACCTCCAAAGTGCTATTACAAATTTGAATGCATATTTTATGAGTTCCGTATCTGCTAGGATTCCGTACCTGACTAGGATGTGTGTCTCACCATCTTCCTCGGAACATTTTAAAAAAAACAACCAAACCCCAACCAAACCGCAGACTGCATGCAGCTGTATCTATACTATATTTGTTTCAATTAACCGATTTACGGAGGCCCTTTTCCCATGGATTACTTTTAATTCTACACTGCCTTGGAAGAAATCAATAAGTAATTAGCTCACATGGGCACATGCCCAAAATACATGTGTGCAATGCACTCAGGGTTTTTTAAAGCACCCCCTACTCTGCTGCGAACGGCCTGTTCCAGCCCTTAGGGCAGGAACAAGGGAAGGGAGACAGTCTACAATGGCCTCCTCCTTCTGAATTAAAATCTGTGTATTTATCTTAGATCAGGTCTCGAAACCAGGGTTCTTCAGCCTTGAGTCTCCACATCATCTCCCAGGACCTTGATGACTGGCCAAGCTGGCTGGGGATGATGGGAGTTTTAGCCCAATGACACCCTCTGTTGCTCAGCAACATGCAGGACTCTCCTCAAGTGAGGTGTCAGAGGGGGAGAAGAGCCAGCAGAACTTGGGACTGTCCTGCTGCTGGGTAGCAAGGGCAACCTCTGACTCCTCTCTACCCCTCTGACTCCATCGTTCTGCCCGGACACTGAGGCCCAGCTCCGAGGGCCTTCTGGCGGTTCCCTCCCTGCGAGAAGTCAAGTTACAGGGAACCAGGCAGAGGGCCTTCTCAGTGGTGGCACCCGCCCTGTGGAACGCCCTCCCACCAGATGTCAAAGAGAACAACAGCTACCAGACTTTTAGACGACATCTGAAGGCAGCCTTGTTTAGGGAAGCTTTTGATGCATTACTGTATTGATGCATTACTGTATTTTAATATTGTGTTGGAAGCTGCCCAGAGTGGCTGGGGAAACCCAGCCAGATGGGCGGGGTATAAATAAATTGTTGTTGTTGTTGTTGTTGTTGTTATCTCTGAGTCTGCACTCACACTGTTATACTCAGCCTCTAAGCCTGTCTTGGGAGGGCCTCCTTCCCCTGACCCCTTCCCCTTGTTCGCTCAAACCCCCTGCTCCTAGCACCTCCCGGTTCGCCCCTTCTGGAGACTGCTCTTCAGTGTCCCACCACCAGGATCTGGGATCTAAGTCATCTTCTGTGATCTCCCTTGGGGGGCTCTTGGGTGGGCGCCACCCACCACTCTTCCTCATCCAGCCAGTCCCTGATGTCTGGCTTGGCCAAAGCAGCCTCACGGGCCAGAT